GGAATTACTGAATGAAGCTCCTTGCCTAAGCCTTCTTGTTCAATATTCTTCATGACAAAGTCATCTTTTGGTTGTATAATTTTTTGAGATCCCATTTTTTAAAAAACCTTTAAGCCTTACCAATTATTTTCTTTTAATTATTTATAAGTATATAATATACTAAAGATATTTTAGTATTTATTTTTTTCACCATCCGAATAAAGAAAAGCAAGTGAAGCTTTAATAAAAAAGCTCAAAAATTATTTTAAGACTATTACAAAATGTCAAAAATATAGCTTTATTGTATACCACTCATACAACGGGGTAACATGTGGAACCTGTTATCCTGAATCCGACTCCACCAATAAATGGGGTCCAATTAGACCGCTAATTCTATTTATTTTTATATGTATTAATGACAAAGCTAAATCCCCAATCTACAGAATATACATAGTAATAGTGATACTACAAAAAATACACAATTATTTATGAGTAGCTGTTTCATATATTTATATCTATGACAAAGCCGACAAAATAATATAATAATTTAATTTGGAATTTTCTTAGAAAATGAAGTTTTGGAAAGCTATTTATTTTCTAGTTTTACTCACAGCTTATTCCCCCATTAATTTTTTTGATTTCTTATAAGCTAACTCAATCGCCATTCCTACTGTATCAACGAACTTTCTTTTTTCAAGCCAATTAACTCCTTCAATTGTCATGCCTCCAGGTGAAGTTACTTGTTTCACCAATTTGATAGGATCTTCGTTTGTAGCCAACACCATTTGGGCAGCTCCGCTTACGGTCGACCCTGCTAAAACCATTGCTTGTTGTTTCGAGAGTCCAAGTCGACGTCCAGCAGATACAAGAGCTTCAATAAATAAAAAAACAAATGCAGGACCACTCCCCGATAAAGAAGTCAGTGCATCAAAAAGTTTTTCATTGATTTCAACATAATGACCAAACACAGAGAATATTTTGGATATTTTAGCTTTATCAACTTTAGAAATATTTTTACTAAAACAAAATCCACCACTGCCAGCAGCAATTTGGGAGGGAAGGTTTGGCATTAATCTAATTAACTTCGGTTGAATCTTGGATAGATTTAATTTAGAAAGTCTTTTTTGAGATGGTTGAACCATTTGATGTAATTGACTCAAACTAACTCCAGCTAAAATAGAAATAATTGCATGATGGGGTTTAAGGTGGAAACGACTTTCTTTAAAAAAAGATTGAGCATCTTTTGGCTTAATACATAGAAAAATGGTTTGAGTGATACGAAAAAATTCTTGAAGATTTTTACAAATTTTAATTGATGGTTTTTTTTTAAAATATTTATAGGCTGAAGAATTTTGATCAAAAATGACAATTTTTTCCTTTTTGTTGATAAAATTCAAAAGGGGCAAAGACAGTACTTTACCCATATTCCCCATTCCAATAATTCCAATCATAGAGTGATTCCTTATTCTTTTAATTGTACAATTAAAAGAAGTTGTCCAATTAAATAAATTCATCTTAAATTCAAGAAGTGAAAAACGATAATTTTTTTGATAATCTAAGAAATCGCTCTAATATCGTTGATATTGTCACTAAACGCATTGCACTAAAGAAAAAAGGGGCGGAGTGGGTAGGCATTTGTCCCTTTCATGATGACCATAGTCCCTCAATGTTTGTTTCAGAGAAAAAGCAACTATATAAATGCTTTTCTTGTGGAGCCGGGGGTGATGTCTTCAAATTCGTAATGGAATATGACAAATTAGAATTTAAAGAAGCTGTCAAAAGAATTGCTAGTTTTTACAACATTCCTCTCCCAGAAAGGTTTTCATTTCGACAAGCTGTTAAAGTGGATCCCCATCTCAACATGAAACAAATTAATCTATGGGCTAAGGATGTCTTTCACCAATACTTGTTAGATACCAAGGGAGGATTGCCTGAACATAATTATCTAAGGCAAAGAAAAATTGGGAAAAAATCCATTCAAAAATTTGAAGTCGGATTTGTCCCCGACTTTAAACCTAATGAAGGTTTTTTAAAAAAAATTATCAACTCGAAAAATCTCTTTAAAAACTCTAAAGAAGACTTAAAAAAATCATCATTGTTTTTTTTTAATTATCATCAATCAAATGAATTTTTTAGAAATAGGATTATCTTCCCAATTTACAATGAAAAAAATGAAGTGATCGGTTTTGGTGGAAGAACCATTGGACAAGATGAACCCAAATACCTCAATGTAAGAGAGTCGCCTTGGTTTAAAAAAAGAGAGACCCTTTATGGGTTTAAAGAATCCTACCAGAGAATGAGCCAAACCAGAGAATGTTATGTCGTGGAAGGTTATCTCGATGTTATCGCTTGTCATAAAGCAAATATTCCAGCAGTCGCTCCCTTAGGTACGGCTCTTACTCTCGAACATATCTTAAAATTGAAAAGATATGTGGACAAAATTCATTTACTTTTTGACGGAGATGAATCTGGCAAGAAAGCAACTTGGCGATCGGCTTGTGACCTTGCTACTTTATCAATAGACGGCAATGTTTTCAATCTACCCAAAGGGGAAGATCCATTCAGTTTTATTCATCAGCATAGTTTAGAGACAATTGATGATTTCTTTAAAAACAAAGGATTGAACCTTTATCGTTACCTGGTAGGTAACAACCATCAAAAACTTTCACCTGTTGAAAAAAAAAATACTCTTCATAATTTAATCCCAGTTTATCTTTCCATCCAAGATGATTTCGTAAAAAAAAATTTTGCTGGTTTAATCGACCAATCTTTTAACATCGATTTAGAAAAATGGCTTGAGAACAATCAAACTCCACATCGCTCAACGGTACGTTTTACTAAAGCAAAAACCTCCTTCCCTAGTAGACTTGCCACCAAAGAAAGAAGTTTTGTTTTGTTCTTATGTAATCACCCTCATTACATTAAACCAGCTTCATCAGTAATTTTATCTGAAAGCATAGACGACCAACTTTCTAAATATATCTATAGCCGTTTGTTAAGTTTAAGTGGGGCAATACACATTTCTTTTCAAGACATTCTCAATCTTTTTAATGACGACAATCAAAAAAAAGTAGCTGAATACATTTCTTCTAATTGTTTAAGAAAAGACTTCATGAAAGATAAGATCGAAGAGGAAATAAAAAAGAAAACGGGTATTCACCAAATAAATAAAGAATTGAATTCCAATCATTCTAATACAAATATGGATCAAAATATCCAAGAAGAATTCAATACCCGCGTCGTCATTCTTAAAAAAGAATACCTTAAGAAAAAAAAGGCATTAATTAATGAAAAAATTCAAAAAGCTAGGGAAGAAAACAATTGGGATCTTGAGTGTATTTTACAAGAGGAGCGGATGGGACTCTATGTCGAAGAAGATAATCTAAAAAAATTCATTTAATTTTGAAAAAATCGATTATGTTATAATTTTTTCATTTGACTTGTATTTATAAACAAATTATAATAAAACAAAAAAATTAATGGATAGATTCCATAAATCTCATCTTGACAAATTAGGAGATATTGTCAAAAAATTTCAACAAGGAGAAGAAGACTTACTGGATCTACTATGGGAGAAAATTTCACTCTATATTCGTTTCTTTCCTACCCTCGCATTTAGAGAAAAAGATGAAGATACTATTTCAGATTTCTATCTTTATGTCTTTGAGAAAAGACGGATTTTTTTAAAAAAATTCAATTCCCAATTGGCAAGTTTTTCGGTCTACCTTTCAATAAGACTTAGAACATATTATTTAAATTTCCTCCAATATCAAAAAAACCGTAAAGAAAGAGTCATTTATTCAGAAAACGAAGAAATTTTTAAGGAATCAATGGAAGAGTCACTTGTTTTAAGAGATAGTTTTATGGAAAGCCCCCCCATAGATAGTCAAGTTTTCCCTAACCCTAAGGAAGGTATTTTTAGATACTTGGTAATAAAGCTATATTATTTCGACTATTTCACGGAAGATGACTATGTTTTACTTAAAGATTTTACTGGTAAGGATTACATGAAGCTTTTATCTCAAATCGATGATTTAAAGAGTAAGATTTTTGAAAAAACCATGTTCCAATTGAAACAAGAAGAAAAAATTAATAAAATTTATTTTGAAATTTTAGATCTTCAAACAAGGGAAAAATCCCTATCTAATACGGAAAGAATACAGTTAGAAAAGAAGATTAACTATCGGCGTGAAGCATTGTTAAAAAAATATAAAACTATTTCTGCCTTTCCGCCGTTTAAAAATATAGCAACAATTCTGAATCAAAATGAAACCAAGATAGCGAATACGATCGTTTATTACCGGAAAAGTTTGGAGAAAAGTCTTTCCAAAGTGGTTTTTAACAGAACAAAATGAATTCATCTGTACGTTACAATTTCAAATCTCTTAGCAAATTCAAATGAAAGAACAAGAATTGTTATCCATCCATCAAGCTCTCGAAGAAAAAAATTTCAAAGTCATCTCAGAATGGATAGGAGATGACCAAGAGAAAGCAAAAGAGGTTTTCCGTTTTTATCAATCTATGAATGAATTAAAGCAAATAGATGAAATTATAAAGCCACCCTCCTTCACACCAGTTAAAAAAAAGACCGTTAATTTTTTTGAAGTGATTATTAAAAGAATTGACCAAGGATTAGAATTAATTGCTGGGAAAGAATTTGAATGGGTTTCACAAACCGGACTCACAAGAGATTCAAACGAATTTGAAACCAGTCAGTCACAAAAGATTAATTTCTCTTCTTTTTCGGTGAAAAATGAAAACGATCAGTACAGTTTTTTTTTTAAAAAATTTTCAAACTTACAAATAAACGACCAAAATGGCCAAACTATTTATCAAGGCAACAAACTTCCTCAACTGGAATTGATTTTAAATAAAGGGGTTTACGAAATAGAATTAAATGATCAATATTGGAAGTTAAATTTACAATAAAGCATGTTTAAAAGAATTTTAGGAGCAGGGTTAGGGTGGTCATTAGGAGGGCCGATCGGTGGTTTAATTGGTTGGTGGTTAGCTGGGAAATTAGATCAATCTTCTCAACCAAGGGTCGGTCGACAACAAACTACCCATTCTGATTTTATCTTTTCCATGTTAATACTCGCTTCCAAAGTGATGAAAGCAGACAATCGGATAACCGTTAAAGAGATTGAGTATGTTAAAGAATTCCTTCTTCAACATTTCCAGATAGAGGAAGTTCAAGAAATGATGATGTTTCTTAGAGATATTGAAAAGAAAGAATACTCATTAGAAGAAGTCTGCGATCAAATCAACCAGTGCATGTTAACTGAAGAGAAAAACCAACTCCTCCACTTTTTGTTTGGTTTAAGCAATTCAGATGGACAATCGCACAGTTTAGAGATAGACATCTTGTCAAGGATTGCTGTTTTACTAAAAATACCAAGTCATGTTTTTCATTCAATGAGAAATTTGTATGGTAATCAAGAACATGATATAGTCCATTACTATCGTGTACTTGATATTCCTCAATCTGCAAGCAATGAAGAAATAAAAAAAGCTTTTAGAGAAATTTCCCTTCAAAACCACCCTGATAAGGTTGCTCACTTAGGGGAGAATATTCGTAAATCAGCAGAGGAAAAATTTAAAATTATCAACGAAGCTTACCAAAAAATTAAAAAGTCTCGTGGTTTCTAATTTTTAACTTTGAAAACAATTTTTTCGAAGTTTTTTTTCTTGCTTTTACTAAAATTCTTAATTTTGTCATTTCTATTTATCCAGGGTAAAGAGAATCAAAAAATTACAATCAACCAAGAATCCTTGCAGGGTTTTGAGAAACAATTTCTTAATCCTTACTTTTGGTTAAAAAAAATAAATCATCCCCAAAAAATTATTTGGTCCAAAGAAAGAATTAAAGATTTTAACAAAAAAAACTTGTCAAGAAAAATCATTCTCAATCCTCTGGTGTTAGGAAACTACCTGAACGCTAAAATGGTAAAAAATTACCTTGACCAAGATTTAAAACTCATGAGAACCTATATTAAATACGATTTAAAGGGAGTTAGAAGGAGAGATCCTCAATTCTCAAAATATTTAAAAGACCTCATAAACTACTCTGCTTTTCAAAATATCAAAAAGATAAAGGTATCTTATGGGATTGTATTACACAAGGATAGTGAACTAAGGTATTTTCCGACTGATCTTAAAATATTTAGGAAGAAACGCGATCACGACTTTGAAATTTTTAAAAAAACCCACCTCCCTCCTTTTTCTCCTGTGGCAATTATTCATCAATCCAAAGATCAAGAATGGCTTTATGTTGAAAGCATTTTTTCCCGTGGCTGGATAAAAAAAAATTTTTTAGCCATCGGAAGCAGGAAACAAGTCAGAGAATTTATAAACCAAGACAATGAAGGTGTTGTTTTAGAAGTGGAGTCTCAGGTTTATCAAAAACCTATTGATAATAAAAACTATGCTACTGACATTGTTTTACCGATTGGTAACAGGTTTTATTATAAGGATTTCAACTCTCTTGAAGAATTCACACCTATTTATATTCCCGAAAAGAATTTTCAGCTAGGCATTTATTACATTAAAACTAGTGAAATTTCCAACCAATATTTAGATTTTTCTTATCAAAATATCATCAAGCAAGCATTTAAATTTCTTAACACAGGATATTTATGGGGAGGTGGGAATAATCGTACTGACTGTTCAATTTTTCTCTATCGACTTTATCGCTCATTTGGAATTGATTTGCCAAGAAGTTCTTCTCAGCAAATAAAGGTATTAAACAGTAAAAAAGATATAAAAACTAAGCAAGATTATATTAAAGCGAAAAATTATTTAGAACCATTACTAACTTTTGCTTATATTCCAGGACCGACCCATATATTATTATACTTAGGTAAGCATGGTGGTAAAGACTACTACATTCAAAGTACTTACTCTTATAGAGGGTCTAAAGGGGAAGAATATATTCTCTCTTCAGTGGTCGTTAGTAATCTTTCTTTAGGAAAAGGTAGCCATCTAGGGAGTTTATTGGAAAGAATTTCCATTTTATCCCGTTTTGATAAATTTTATAAAAGATGAATTTTTTTAAAATTTTATCTAAATTCTATCAAATTTCAATAAAAAAACACTGATTTCTTTAAAAAAAGTATTAAAACTTATTTTTATTACATTAAAAAATGATATAATTAGTTAAAATTATTATCGGTTAATTTTTTAAAAACTTTAACAACGAGGCTTAACATGATTATAAATAACAATATTTCATCTCTTAATTCAAATAGAGTACTAAAACAAAGAAGTAATAAAATTCAACAGAGTTTCTCAAATATTTCAAGTGGAGACAGGTTATCTTCTCCAAAAATTAATCCCACTAGTTTTTCTGTTTCTGAGAAAATGCGTGTTCAAATCAAAGGTATTGATGCAGCCAATAAAAATGCCACTGACGCTCTATCCATGTTGCAAACAGCAGATGGATACTTATCTGAAGTGAATAATTTAATAAAGAATTTTAAGGCATTAGCTGTACAAGCTGCTAATAGCATCTATTCAGATGCAGAAAGGCAATTTTCCAATTTTGCCATAAGAGAAATAGTGGCTGAAATTGATAGGATTTCTTCTCACGCAGAATTTAATGGTCTTAAACTACTCACTGGCAATTATTCACGGCCTACTGCTGACTCAGTTCCTCTTATGTCGCTATGGTTTCATATAGGACACAACGCTGCGAAAGACTCTAATGCTATTCGAGCCTATATTAATACTTTCAACTCAACAGCTCTTCAAATTAATGAAATTAGTTTGAGCAACCCAACATTGGCACTTGATGCTTTACAGAAAGTTGACTTAGCTTTAAGTGCAGTTGCTCAAAGAAGAAATGACTTGGCCTCCTATCAAGCTCGTTTAGATAGCATTATTACTACAACAAGTATAGCTAAGGAAAACGCTATTGCGAGTGAAAGTGTAATTCGAGATACTGATATTGCTGAAGAAGTTAGTGAGCTAACTAAAAATTTGATTGTTAATCAGGCCAATATAGCTATGATTGCTCAGGCTAATGCTCAATTACAAACTGTTTTAGCTTTGCTCGGTTAATTCTTTTATTTTATACATTCCATATATAGTAGATATTGATTACTTTTGGAATTCAAGGAATTAATTCAGCATAGCTTATAACTCGAACTAGTTTTAATTACAATACCTAAACATAGATATTGTGATTTCTGGCAATCCAAATAGTTTGTTGTTCTATAATAAAAGTTAGTTTTTTTTTAAATCCTCTCCTCTAAGGTTGAAGAAACTGATTTTTTAAAACTTTCTCTTTTAATTTCTTTTTTATCTCTAGATCTAATAAAATAATCTCTTTAATGTTATTTATCTCCATAGCTTGATGTTGTTTGATCATTGTTTCTGTTAAAGAGTAAATTTCTTCAAAATCAATCTTCTTTTCTAAGAAAAGATATACGGCTTGTTCACTAGTCGCATTCATAACAATAGGATAACTTCCACCACGTTTACCACATTCATAAGCAAGTTTTAACATTGGAAATTTCTTGAAATCCGGTTGGAAGAATTCCAATTTGGGATAGCTATTTAACTGAAATGGAGATAATCGATTAGGAAGAATTTCTGGATGAGTTAGAGCATTGAAAATTGGATGACGCATATCTGTTGATCCAATTTGAGCGTATTGTTCCCCATCCACCGTCTGTACTAAAGAATGAACGATGGACTGAGGATGGACAATCACCTCAATTTTTTCATATGGCAGACCAAATAAGTGATGTGTTTCAATGACTTCAAGTCCTTTATTCATCATAGTGGCTGAATCAACAGTAATTTTCCTTCCCATCTTCCAATTAGGGTGGTTAAGAACTTCTTCTACACTTGGTTTTCTTGGAAGATTCTTAAAGAAAGGACCACCAGAGGCTGTTAGAATAACTTTTTTAATGTTGGAATGTCCAAACCGATTGATTAATTGGAAAATAGCCGAGTGCTCACTGTCAATTGGGATGAGTTTAGTTTGGTATTTTTCTAACAATTGATTGATTATCTCCCCTGCCATCACTAGGCTTTCTTTATTAGCAAGGAGAATCTTGGCCTTTTTTTGAATTCCTAACAAGGTCGCCTCTAATCCGACACTACCAACCAAAGCATTAATTAACACATTAAAAGAAGTTTGCTCCATAGAACTTTGAATATTATTAAAACAACGAATATTCGGGTAGCTTTTCTGAATTACTTCAAGATTTTTTTCATTCGTGCAAACCAGACTTTCTAATGTTTCACTCCATTCCTCGATTATTTTTTTTATTTCATCAAGATTATCGCGTGCGACTATTCCAACTACAGAAAAGAGTTTATCGTCTCTATGATGTTTCCTGTAATAATGGTTAATTTCTTTAATACAGTAACGAGTATTTCGTCCAATAGATCCAGTCGCTCCAGCCAAAAAAACTTTCTGCATTAGTTTTTGTCTAAAGAATACCTATTGTTTAAAGATTGTTTGAGAGTACTTTTGTCAATGAATTCCAACCCAGTTCCCATGGGTATCCCAACTGCCATTCTTGAGAAAGTAATTGGATTGGCAAATTGCTTACCTTTTTGTTTTTGAATTTTTTCACTGATTAATTGAATAGTGGTATCGGCTTCAATGCTTTGTTCAAAAGCAAAAATAATTTCCTTAACTTGATGATTCTTATGTTGATGATGATCGCAAATTCTTCTTAAGAGTTCTTCAATTTTTAAATCTTTTTCATAAACATTTGATAAAGGAGATAAAAGACCGCCTAAAACATGATAAATCCCCCCATAACTTTGAGAACGCTCAATTTGAATAGCGTCTTGAATATTTTTGACGACACAAATAATAGAATGATTTCTTTTATTGGATGAACAAATTCGACATGGTGATTGTTCGGATATCAAACCACAATTTTTACAAAAAATGGTTTTTTCAACGAATTGATTAACAATTTGAGTGAAAAACTTAACTTCATCTTGAGTCGTTTCTAAAAAGTAAAATGCGATTCTCTCTGCCGATTTTTGTCCAATACCTGGGAATTTTTTAAGACTTTTAACAACTTGAGAAAAGGTTGAAGGCACCGTCAAAAAAACCCATCGTGAGCTTACAAAAATCCTGGTGGGAGATTCATTCCCTTAGTGAGGTTTTTTAATTCAGAAGAGCTATCTTCTCCAACCTTCTTGATAGCACTGTTCACCGCAGCCAAAACTAAGTCCTCAAGCATTTCAATATCATCGGGAGAAACAATTTCCTTAGCAATCTTGATGCTCTTAATTTCCATCTTACCATTAATTTTAACAGCAACCATATCTCCACCTGAACTGGCTTCATATTCCTTCTTAGCTAATTCTTCTTGGTTCTTTTGCATTTCTGACTGCAGTTTTTGAGCTTTCTTCATCAATTCATTCATATCAAACATAAGTACTCCTCTGATATTGAGTTATTAAAATTTACCTACCTAATGAAGGAGGAAAGACCTTTTTTACTTTTTCCAAGTTAGATTCTACATTAGATTTTACAATGTATTCGACTATTGAGACATTAAAAATTTGTTCAACATTTAAAGATTTCGCTTTTTCTTGAACTAAACCCAATAGTCTTTTTTCCACTATATTGAGTTTTTCTTGAGGGAGGTTTCCTTGATTCACTAAAAGCAAAGTGGCATTCTCAACTTTTTGAAAAGGCAAGTCCATCAAATAGCCAAATAATTCATGATCACTTTCTTTTATACTTTCAATGATGTTTTGGTATTTCTCTCGCGTCCATTCTCCTACAATTGTATTTTTATTAATATTATTTTCTTTAGGAATACTTTTTCTTGGGTTGTTAATAGAGTTGTTTAAGATACTATTTTGTGAATTACTCTCTTCCTTTTTTTTAATTTTTTCAGATGAATTTTTTGATTTAGTGGGTATAGACAAGGGTTCTTCTGTCTTTTTAATTGGATTCAATTTGTTGTTCAAATTTTCATCAGGAATAACATACTTAGATAATTCCAATATGTTTTGTTTCAACTCCTCCGGAGTGATTAGTTTTTGATAACGGTGAAGTTTTAACAAAAGATAATAAGTAATCATTCTTTGATTGGAAGAGTTTTTAAAAATTTTAAGGAAGTCAAACAAAATATCTGTGAGAGAGAAAATTTCATTAGTGGTAAAAAGATTTTCAAATTTTTTTAATTTTTCTAATTCTTCAGGCGAAATTTCTAAAGACTTCCAATCATGTACTCCAGATTTAAAATAAACAAGATTAGAAAGCGTCTCTATCAAACTGTAAAGGAACTCGTTGAGGCTGTACCCTTCCATCATTAACTGTTTAAACAGTTGGTAGTTTTCTTTAATTTTATGCTCTAACAAAAAAGTAAGAAAATCATATTTTTTTTCAATGGGTGTTTCTCCTAATACTTCCTGAATAATATTCTCTGTGATTCTTTGATGATTGCTATAAGCAATAATCTTTTCTAATAAATTTTCAGCATCCCGAATAGAGCCTTCTGATTTTCTTGCTAGACTAAAAAGTGAGCCGATTTCAAAAGGAATGGATTCTTTGGAGAGAATCATTTCAAGATGCTTTTCAATCAAGTGGGAATCGATACCCGAAAAAAATAGCTGTTGACAGCGAGAACGGATGGTAAGTGGAATCCGATGATTTTCAGTCGTACAAAGAATGAAAATAAATTTTGGAGGTGGCTCTTCAAGAGATTTCAAAAGAGCATTAAAAGCCTCATTGGTGAGCATGTGCACTTCATCAATCACAAAGACTCGATAGTTTCCTTGCGGTGAAGCAAAATTAAGCTGCTCATTCAAAGCTCGAATTTGGTCAATTCCCCTATTCGACGCACCATCAATTTCAAGATAGTCAAGAGAAGTTCCCTTATTAACCTCTAAACAACTTGTACACTCGTTGCATGGAATTGAATTTCTTGTTTTTTCGCAGTTAAGAAATTTAACCAATATTCTTGCCATCGTGGTCTTGCCTACCCCCCTTGGACCGGAGAATAAATAGGCTTGCCCAATGCGATCACTTTCAAGGGCATTTTTTAAAATGGTCATGATTTTATCTTGACCAACAACCTGCTTAAAATTTTGTGGCCGATATTTCCTTGCTATGATTTGATAGGTCATGATATTCCCACTCAGACAACCATCTTCTCTCGACAAATATAAACTTACCGTTGCTATCTTCCGATCCTGGCGGAATTGGGCTTATACCTGTAGAAAAGAGTTCCCTGAGTGGGAATTAAATTGTATAATAAAATTCTCTTTTTGTGCTACTTTTTCCTCTCATTACTTTTTGATTTCGAAAAACAATTTTAGAGTCGAAAGTTATTTTTTCTATCAAAAGAAGACAATTACTCAATACCTATATGCCCATATGATAGGGGAATCCATCTACTTATAGACTTCATGGACTAATTAATAATTATAAATATTAAGTGGAAAAAGTCATCCTTTAAGACAAGGATTGATCCGCTTTCTCTACCTTTTCAGACATCTGCACCTTAAACTTTTTTAATGCTTCTTTCAATTCAGGATATTTTAAAGACAGGATTTGGGTTGCGAAAATAGCTGCATTATCTGCACCACTACTCCCAATTCCCATACAAGCCACAGGAACCCCTGGAGGCATCATTACAATCGAATAGAGAGAGTCAACACCTTTTAGGGGACCATTTTCTACAGGAATGCCAATCACTGGAAGAGTGGTGTGGGCAGCACAAACTCCAGGCAAATGAGCTGCTAAACCTGCAGCAGCAATAATCAATTCGTGTCCCTGTTCTTCCGCTTGTTTCACCAAACTCTCTGTTTTATATGGAGTACGATGAGCTGAAGCAATTCTCACTTCGGCTTCTATCCCAAATTCATTTAATCTTTCTTTTGTTTTATTAACTGTTGTTAAATCTGATTGACTACCGATGATGATAAGTATTTTCATTTTACCTCTCTAATTGAATATTTAGTTATAAATTGATGAATGATTAATTCACAATTTTGTTTAACGATTTGAAAAACTTTTTCAAACCCCTCCAAAGCATCATAATAAGGATCAGGAACATTCTTATTTGCATCTTTATCATGTTCTCGAAACATTTTAACTTTGGAGTAATATTGGGAATCAATTATTCCCAAGATACCTTGATGAATGCTTTCATCCATCGCATAAATATGATCAAACAACTCCCCATCCTTGGGATAAAATTGTCTCGCTCTATGTGTCATGGGATAACCATACTGGTGGGCGGTTTCAATCATTCTTTTGTCACTCGGACTATCGACATGCCAATTACCTAAACCAGATGAATCAATAAAAAATCGATCGGATAAATTCTTATCTGTAATTTCTTTTTCCATAATAGCTTGCGCAAGAGGAGATCGACAAATATTGCCCAAGCAAACAAAATTAATTTTAATCGTCTTTGATTCGAACACGGCTCACCTTTAAGTTTGTCCATAAGACCTAGATGATAAGGCAATTGCCTCATAGGCTTCATTAGGATAATGCTCTACAAGCTGTTCTTTCACATTTTTTTTATCCCTTTTATTAATACGTTCTAAAAATAAGATGCCATTTAAGTGGTCTAGTTCATGCTGGAAACAAACAGCAAGCATGTCATCAAAAATTTTTTCTTGGATCTTGAAATCCCTATCGAGATATTGAACCAATATTGAATGTTGTCGCCTAATATTTACTTTGACATCGGGTATCGACAGACAACCTTCTTCATTCTCTAGCAAATTTTTTGATGCTTTTTTGATTTTAGGATTGAAAAAAACCATCATACCATTAGTTACTTTAGGAATATCAATAATAAACAATTGCTTTAAAATACCTACTTGAACAGCAGCAAGACCAATTCCCTTGTGAAAATACATCGTCTCAGCCATATTCTCAATTAATATTTCCAATTCTTCTCCTTGATCCTCTTTTTTGATAGACTTGCTTTTTTTTAACAAAACTTTATTACCAAGTTGAAGAATGGGCAAAACCATTTATTTTTTGATCTTAATTTTTATAGTTTTTGAGGGTATACTCTTTGTAATTTTAACTGGCTTCTTTTTGGATTTCTTTGTCTTAACTTTTATAATTTTTTCATTAATATTCTTTTGAATGCTGTTTGGTATTTGCGTTGATTCATTTTGAGAATTATTCTTTAATTTTTTCACTGTCATGCTAGAAGGATTTTTCTTCTTTTCTAACTTGAAATCATTAAAGAGTCTAAGAAGCAACTTCTCAATGCTATGAATATAGTTTTTAAAAGGGAGGTCTAAAGATTTTTTTTGAGGGTGAATACTTTTTTTTAAAAAAACCAAGAGTGACTTTTGGGAGTCCACATCTATCTTTCTAGCTAAGTTCTTTTCTTCTTCCTCTCTAAATTCTTTTTTCAGATCAACAGGAAACTGTTCGATACTAGTTTTATTCGGAAAAACGTTAGAGTAAGCAAGAATTTTTTGTGTTTTTTTTTCAATTAGTACTACTTTTTTAATAGAGGCCAATGAAAGCATAGTGTTAAGAGCTTCCTTGATTTCTTTAGGATTATCACTTAAAAAACGGTGAAGAGAGGAAGTAAGCTTCTGATAAAAATAAATTTTCTTGTTGGGAACCTGTGTAGTTTTTGAATAACTATTTTTGATAGTTGGTGGATTCTTTTTATCAACTTTTTTTGTCGCTTCTTCATTTTTTTCTGCTTCATTTACATTAGAAGAGAATATCCATTCGAATATCTGATGATAATCTTCCTTTAGAAAAGATTGAGAATTATGAAAGTTTTTATAGAAAATATAAGCCAATACTTTTTTATTCTTTTTCAATTTGTAAAAAATCAAGTCTTCAAAGTCAATATCAAAAAAAGTCTTCAACCCCTCCACTACTTTGGTATCATGGAGGGAAGATTGAATTTTATTTAAAAAGGCTTGGTTAATCTTTAAAGGTAGATAATTTTTTTTCTGAGGGAAGTGATAACTTAAATCAATTTTCATTTCCTGATAGTTAATAAGGAGAAAGTAGAAATTTTTTAAAGAAAAAGCCGCGCGAATCTTTTCACAAAGTTGATGAATAGATGTAGCATTACTAAGATAATCTTTTCTTTCCAAATGAAGAAACATTTCAATTGCTTTTTGATAAAGAGTTAGTTTTTCTTGATTTACAAGAATATTTTGAAGACTTAAATGAGTGGTTAGTTTTAAATGATTGACTTGGAAAGTTGATCCATGTTTTTTTATAAATTCTTGAAAAAGAACTTCAATACTTTTTTGACGAAGCGACATCTTAATTCTAAATATTCAACTTCTTAAGAACTTCGATATAATACTCATATTCTTTAGAACAAGCAAATTGCTTGACTTTTTCTTGAGGCAATCCAGCTAACATCTTATCAAGTTGTTGAAAAAGATTTTTCATTTTGGTCTTATCAGAAAAAATATCCTTGTAGACTGTAGGCTTGGAATATGTTTGAATTCGAACTTTAGGTTTAGATGAGCTTACAACCTTTGTATTAGCTTTTTTTGTAACTTTAGATGGAGGTTTTTGAAGCGATTTTTTAGACACCATAAAACTTTCCCTTTTTGGACTAGTTTTTTTCTTAGCAGCTTTTTTCGCAGGATTCAGTTCCAAACCCCAGTTAACTTCTTCATCTAAATGGGAAAGATCTATTCCCTCAACATGTTTCTCAAGATCAGAATCATCATCTAAATGAATGTCTTGGGATTCGTCAAATTTCTCAGTATCTTCAATACCGTCAGTATATTCTTGAATATCTAAATCAGCAATATCCTTAATTTCTTCAGCTGTTAGACCAACATCTTCATCGATACCTAAGTCTTCTCCAAGTGTTTTTTTTTTCTCCATTATTAAACCTCTTTTTAATTATTTTATCATAGGAGCGCTTCTTTTTAAAAAAAAAAGCAGTTGCATCTAATTCTTTTTGTTGATTAGAAATCGTTAAAAGAAGATCTTTCTTATAAAAAAAGCCGTATTCTAACCCCCCCGCTTTTTTCACCAAATCCTTTAAAGATAAGATTCTTTCAGTTTTGATTAATCCTTTACTTTTAAAGGGACCTTGAAGAAAAATCTCTCGATAGGGTTCTTTTTGGGAATAGATTTCCTCACCTAAAAGTTTAATTCTTTCAATGTATTCATTAGGAACAAGATAAAATAAAATAGAAGGAATGGAAAACAAAAAAATAATCTTTAAAAAAAGACTATTTCTTTCTGACATTTGTTTAAAGTAGTCGTGAAACTTTTTCTTTAAGCGAATAAATCGAGACACCCAATTCATTAAGACTAAATATAACATCAAAATAATTTACTATATTTTAAAAGAATTGCGATATAAAAAATTTTTACTTAAATTATTTATCCAAAAATACGACTTCGAAAATTCATCACATTAACACCGATCATAATATCCGTTTTTCACCTGGCTCTTCTTGAATGATTTCTTAAAACCAAACCATCTTAGAAACAAAGTTTGTAAAGTAACACTTTTTAGTGATTTCATTTTATAATTTAAGAATAACTTTTGAGTTGGAGTTTGCATTTCATAAATTGGAATGAGGAAAGTCCGGACTCCTTCAACAAAGGATGCCAGCTAATAACTGGGTTCTAAGAAATTAGAAACGGAAAGTGCAACAGAAAGTAAACAGCCTTAATATTCTTTTTTTAAAGAAAATAGGTAATGGTGAAACGGAGGTGTAAGAGACCCCCACAGTTTTAGTAATAAAATTGGTATTGTAAACCCCATCCGGAGTAAGATTAAATATGCTAATTAGAGTTGTTGACTATATAAAGCTAGGTAGATTGCAGGATTTAATGAGTGATCATTAAACTAGACAAATAAACTCCCTCGACAGAATCCGGCTTACAGCTCAAAAGTTTTTTTTAAAATGGTACAACTTAGTAATGGTAAAAAGAGTGTAGAAGTGGAAGCAAACCACTCTCTTGTTGAAGCTGGGGAGAAAATTGGTGTTCCTTTTAGCTGCACTGAAGGTAATTGTGGAACTTGTTTAGTCGAAATTCAAGAAGGAATGGAGAACCTCACCCCTCTAAATGAACAGGAAGAAATATTCGGATTGCATGACAATGAAAGACTTCTTTGTCAATGTAGAATCCTAAAAGGTCAGGTTATAGTCAAGGTTTAGTTGTTGTTTCATTTTTTACTTTGTTCTTCCCGAATTAGGAGCTCATCCTTTGTATTTTTAAATGGATTTCTTTTTCTGCTACTCCTCTTTAACTGTCAAAAAAGCTACATCATCCTCAATCATAGTGAGATCAGAAAAGCCTATACTCAATATGATTTCCGTTACATTGATTCTTTGAAAAGAGTTGTTGAAAAAGAAAATCGTGACCTTGCAGCAAATGCCTTGGTACAGTTAGGTAACTACTATCGAAATTTGATTAATACAAAAAAATCTCAAGAAGAGGAAATAGCTTTAAGGGATTTGGAAATTTATTTTTTGGAGTTAGCAGAAAAAAGTATTGGGTTCAATCTAAAAAACATTGTTTTTTACAATCTACTTCTATCGCAAAATAATCAAGTAAATGACGCTTATCTGCAAAATTTAAATAACACTCAAAGCAATCCAGAAAACATCATCTTATTATCTAAACTAACGATTCAAAGGTATCAAAAAAAAATGATAAGTAACCCTTCAGATTTCTTGGATACCTGTCTAAATAATTTATCTCACCCCAACTCTTATGTTTTTGAATCTTCTCTTCAATGTATTTTAAACTTAAGTGAGAATACGGAAAAAGAAAAAATCATTCGTAAAATTAAAGAGCTTAATAGGGGGCAATCATTTTACCGTCAAATTTTATTAAATAGACTATAATATGAAAAATATTTTTAAAACGGGTTTTTTAATTCCATTTATTTTCTTTACACTGTCAACGATTGCTATTAATTCTTGCTCTAAATATCGATATGTCTATTTTGATAAAAGCTCCTTTAAACAAGTTAAAGAGATTTACCTTTTAAGCGTTATGATTAATAATGAAAGTGATTCTTATCAGAACAATGTCGTCTATTATTCAAGTTCAGTCATTAATGAAAAATTCATAAATGGAGTTATTAAAAATTTTAATGATAATACTAATAATATTTCACTTAAAATGCTCCCCTCTGATAAACAAACAAGTCTTTTTGAAAACAGTAACGAAAAACTCATTCCCTTAGGAGAAGAGGCCTTAGCGGAATCATTAAACTCTAAATGGATAAAAAACAATCATTCTAAAATCAATGGTTATGCTTATGCTACCATTGAAATTAAAACTTCAATTTGGAATCAAAATGTAGTTGGGTTTTTTAGAATTTATTCATCGCAAGGGAAAGTTATTTGGAGAGAAGAAATCAATCATTTTTCACCTTATATAGAATTCGACAAAGAGTCTCCTTATTTAATTAAAAATAAGGAAATCAATCTTCAACCTGTTGAAAGGAATCATTATCAAGAGATCGAAAAAATTTATGATTTACTCGGACAAAAAGTAGCAGAATCATTGAAAAGTACTTTGGATAAAATCCTTAGTATTTAATTAATATGGCCGTAATATCCATATATTAAATTATTGATCAATAGACAATAATTTAATAAAAATGAAGAAAATAAAAAAACTATTATTAATTTTATTTCTTCTGGTCGTGTTGGGCTTAAAGGCCAATTTTTTGGAGACAATAAAAGTCTATCCATCGTTAATAAAATTTGCTGAATCTCCTGAACTTTTTTTCCAAAGTTTCCAGTACGAACTTGATAACTACAATCCAATTCACGGGAAAAAACACATGCCAGCAGAATGGAGGCAAGTCGTCAATCGAAAAACCGATGACATCTTTAAAAGTTTTTGGGATAAAAGATTTTCCGCTTCTATTAATCTTACCTCCATCGCCCTATCCATAATCAATTACAGTATAAAAGCCACCGCGGTTAGGGAAAGCATTTTCATTCCTGAATTTTATTTAGGTTTTGGCCACTTCTTTTATGTCCCGATGTACGGATCTACAATTAAAGGTGATTACGGACTGCTTTTAAAAGAAGTTAAACTGCAAAATTTTTCAGGCTTTGTCGGTACGGCTAAGTCATTTAAGACCAACTTTAAGTTTTTTTCTGGCTATCGTTTCAGCCATGGAATGCTCACTATAGATTTCCCAGACAGTGTTTTCAATCAGTATCAAGCCACCCTCCAAGAAAAAAAGATTGAACGGAACTGGATGCTTCACGATATTTTCGTTGGAATAACTTTTCTTATTCCTGGAAGTAGTTGGGAAAGCCTATTGAGTGTTAATTTCAACCCTGAGCTATTAAGATTCAGTGCAAAATTTGAATTCCTATATAAATATGTAGGATTAGGAATAACTTTTTTTCCTGATAACATTTTAATTTTTAGACCTTTCGTAAGAGCTTTAATTGATTTTTGATAGATGATGAGAAACTTTTTATTTAAATTCTTTTTAATCTCATCATTTTTTTTCGTAATTTGCTCTTTCACACTTTGGTCTAATACGGTCACAAATGAGTCAACCATCATTCCTACTGATGATATGGAGTTAATTATGAAAGCACCACTTGTTGAACCCTACAAAGAAATTCCTTACGATTTAAGAAAAATCAAACCACAAGGTGCATTGCCGATTTCTACTTATCAGAAAGATTATGTTAGCACAAATGCTGAAAGACTTATTAGGAGAATTGAATCAGCACTAGTCTATGAAAAACAAAATAATATCGAAAACTTTCGCTCTATCTTAATAGACATTATCACTCGAAATAACTTCAATGCTGAAGCTGCTTGGGCAGCAATTCTCTTAGGTGATTTCAAAGAAAAAGCTAATAACTTGAAAGAAGCTTATCATTTTTATATCTATGTAGTTAATGTTCATTTCAATTCAAATTTTGGTCTTGAAGGACTTTTAAAACTAGGCTTAGTTCTTAATGATATGAATTATCAAACGAAATCTGAAGAGATATTAAAAATGGTTTTAAATACGGAAGATGGTGATGAAGAAATTAAAGCAAAAGCAATAAGGCATCTCCAAGATCGATACATTCAACTCACTCGATGGTATATTGAACAAAGAGATGACGAGAAGACCTTAAAGTACTTTAATGAGTATTTATATTATAAATCACGGTAAAGTTTGTGAATATTAATAACAGGGGTCAATTTAATTTCAGTTTTCTATGAAAATCGGTAATCTTTTTGATCACCATTCTAGCAGTACGATAATTAGCTTCAACGGTGTTACTTGCAATATGGGGTGTTAGAATAATATTGTCTAACTTTCTTAAATCGTATTTCTTTGAAAGTCCACAATAGGGTTCATGAATAAAGACATCCAAAGCAGCTCCTTTGATTTTTTTTTTTTCTAAATAATAATACAAAGCATTTTCGTCAATAAGCCGACCCCTTGAAGTGTTAATTAAAACTGCATTTCTCTTGAAAAAACTAAGGCTTTCATTATTAATAATATTTTCATTTTGCGTATTTAAGCTTAAATGGATAGATACAAAATCAGCTTGACTGACCGCATCTTTGAGGTTGTCTGTCACTTTGTCAATATAAAGAAGAGGCTTCATGTTCTTTACAATTTTCTTTTTTGTTTCTTTTTTAACCATACCAATAGTTTTCATTCCAAATCCAAGTTTGGCTTTCTTAGCTAAGTCTTTCCCAGTGTTTCCTAATCCCAATATAGCTAAGGTTTTTCCTTGAATTTCACTTCCAATGATTCGATCCCATTTTTGAGATTTAAGACTACTATCAGATTTTAAAATTTGTCGAGAGAGTAAAATCATTTGAGTAATCACATATTCACTAACTGAAACTATTGAAGTCCCTGGAGTTGCAGCGATGTAATGACCCAGCCGTTTACACAGGTTAACAGGCAAGTTATTAATTCCAACTCCAAACCTCATGATAAGCGTGTTAGGAAGCAAGTTCTCAAAAAATTGATCACTTAGTTTTCTAGAGTCGATAACGACGGCTCTAGCTTGATGTCTTTTTTGGAATTTAATGAATTGATTTTCATCTCTTTTCGGACAAACGATGAAACGGACCTTTGAGTTTGTAAAAACTTCTTTTTCTCTTTCAAATAAATGAGAGAAAATAATAGCTTTCAATTTTAAGATTTTTCTATGTTCTTCACGGAATACCGATCTAATTGATGAACTGCTAAAATAACAAGTATTCCAAGAATGAAGAAAAATACAGATGAGATCAAGTAGGGATTTTTGCCAAGAATTAATTCATAATAAAATGGCGAAACGGCATGCGATGTCGAAGTTACAGGTTCCGTGATTTGCCAAGGCCATATTTTTTTAATCGAGCCAATGAGGAATCCAGCAATAAAGATAATAAAGTACTCTTTATTCTTTTTGAATACCCAATTAATGATTCTAGGAAGAATAACGACAACTGCAAAGCCTCCAAAAGAAAAAGGGATCAAGACACTTAGATTTAAAGATTTAATGGCGTTGATCATAAATTCGTATTTTCCAATAATTACTAACATAAAACTCCCTGAAATTCCAGGCAAAAGCATGGTCGATATGGATATCATGCCAGTAATGAAAATCATCCAAGTTGTCTCAGGAGTTTGTTGAGGAGTAAGACTAACCATGAGATAGCCAGATAAAAGACCTAACAAAACTAAAATGGCTTTCTTTGCCTGACGAATTGTCGTGTAATCGGGAAGTTGAATCGAAGAAGAGAGAATTAATCCAAAGAAAAACGACCAAAATTGAATTGGATAGTTTTCTAAAAGTGAAGAAATGAAATGGGAAAGAGTAAAGATACAGGAGAAAAGACCAATTAAAAGTGGTGCAATGAAAAAAAGATTGATATGGTCAAATAGTTTCTTTAATTGAAATGAAAGAAGCAATTGAATGCTTATAGGACTAATAATGTTCTTGATACTTGTGATAAAACGGTGGTAGACTTTGAGAATAAGGGCAATAGTTGATCCAGAAATTCCAGGAATCAAATCGGCAATTCCCATAGTGAAACCTTTGATAAATATAATTAAAATTTCCTTGATAGAAACTGACTTAGAAAGGTTGATCTTGGTAGCAGAATTGGGGTTAGTAGAAGAGTTTTTAGTATTCAATAATTATTGATTGGTATTGGATACGGGAGGTGTTTCATCTGGAAGAAGTGAGTCAAGACTTTCTTCTGTAACCTCTTCAGGTGAAGAGATTTCCTCAAAATCCTTTAAAATAGATTTATTTCCACTACTAATGATAGATAGAAAGAGAGCACTAGTTAGAAATAAAACAGAAAAAAAAGTGGCGACCTTAGCCATGAAAGACATTCTTGAAGTACCCAGGATAGTATTACTGTAACCTCCAATGACTCCCATTCCTCCTTTTTCAGACTGCTGAAGAAGGAATACAATAATTGCTATCACACAAATAATAATATAAATAATAACAGATAAAGTCATGGCTTTTATTATATCATGAAAGAACCGCCCATTTCAAATTTATTTTCATTATGTTAAAATTGATAAAATGGGGTTGTAGCTCAGCTGGATAGAGCACTGGTTTCCTAAACCGGGGGTCGGAGGTTCGAATCCTCTCAATCCTATTTTCTGATAACCATCCATGATTGAATTAAACAAACTAGCTCGTTATTTAGAAAATGAGATGGATATGTCAATTCCAGATTTAGCGATCAATGGGGTTCAAGTAGAAAATAATGGAAAAGTAAGTAAGATCATCACCGCCACCGATTTTTCCATGCAATTACTCGAAAAAACGATTACATTAAAAGGTGACTTGATTATCGCTCATCATGGAATTTATTGGGGGAAACTATTTCCAATTACTCGTCGCTACTATTCATTGATCAAGGGATTATTAGAAAATAATATAGCATTGATGGCTTATCATTTGCCTTTAGACATTAATTTGAAATTTGGTAATAATATTCTCCTCCTTAAGGCATTAGGATTTAATCATGATGAAACTTTTGGAGATTATAAAGGAACACCTATCATCTTTTCGGGAACGACTCAAGAATCAATTTCATTAAAAGAATTAGTTGATCAATTAACAAAAAAGATTGGTGAACCACTTCATGTCACCTCAATTTCGCAAAGGCGAATAAAAAAAATCGGAGTTTGTACTGGTGGAGGACTTTTCGGTATCGAAGAAGCAAAAAAGCGCAACTGTGATGCCTATATTACTGGAGATGCATCCCATACAACCTACCATTTGGCGATGGAGTTGGATATTCATCTCATATCAGGAGGTCATTACAACACAGAAGTGCTCGGTATCAAAGCATTAGGAGAAAAAATTTCTAAGGAGCTTTCTATCCCTACTACTTTCATTGACCTTCCTACTGGCCTTTAAGTAATTTCTCATAAAAGATAATTAATAATTGTTATTAGATTTACTTAGTAGTTCACTTGTGATTAGTCAGTGATGATGTAGAAATTCCCATTACTGATAGTGCTGATCTGATCAGAATTATTTTTGATAAGATTTCCATAAAATTTTTGAATGTAGACTCGACCGCGGACATGATCCACGTCTAAAGCACGAACCAAGAGACTCTCTTTCGGAAAAGTTTTCCCTTCCAATCCTCTATAGTAACGAACAAAGGCAGTTCCAGTTTTGGAATGGAAAGCTGGACTAAGCACCGTCTCATTTTGATCATTCAGTACATTGACAAAAAGTGTTGGACTAAAATGAAATCCTCGTGTGTCAATCACTAAACTCAAAATTTTATTCTTGGAGAATGTCTCTAAATTTGGAGTTTTTTTAAAATTAAAACTATTCTTTAGTAAAATTTCATAAATAGTTCGATTTGAAGAGAATGAAAGATCGAGCAAAGGTAACTTCTTTTGTATTAAGATCGATGAAGTAGAAGGATAAGTGACTTTCTCTAAATCCATTTGACTAAATTTTTCTTTAAAGAAAGGAGAGTAATTTTGATTGTTGATTAAAAAGTCTTTTATAGAATACTTGGAGTTGATCGGTAGTTGCAGGAAGAGTTGATAGCTATTTTTTTCAACAAAGTTTTCTGCTTGTTGTTGTAATTCAACAAAGCTCAAGTTCTGTTGATATTTTTGAATAGGTTTTTTTGAGGAAAGAGTAACTTGAGAATGCAAAGTAAGTTCACTCCAATCAAAATAACCTGATGGAGTAGCGGTAACTTTTCTACTGGGATTATCTTTCTTAATGGAGTCATGCACAATCGGAGAGATCTCATAACGGTTATTTTTCTTATTAAAATATCGAAATACTGCATAAACGGTAATGATCTCTTTATTTAAATCCAGTATCCACGGTTGCTCTTCTTTATATTCCAACCATCGATAATTCTCAAATTTAGGATCGTTACTGATTTTCATTTGAACTGCACCTTTGGCTTTAATGGATAACTGAGATTGTTTTTTCAATTTTCCAGTTGATGTAAGTTGTAAGATGATTTTCACAGTCGGTTGTTCAATACTTTGCCAAGTTCTATAACCGACCAAACTCCTAGGGATAGGAATGAAACCAATAGCTTGGTTGATGGAATTAGCAAAAAGACTTCCTGTCATTAAAAGAAGCAAAAAACCAATGATAAATGAAAAAACAGGTCGTCTGAATTGGGGTTTAGTGGTTTTAAAAAAGTTGAAGCAAGTTAAACGAAGAAAGTCCAATGCTGGGTTAATGCACTATTTAATCAGCATGATTTTTTGACCGCTTTTGACCGTTTCACCATCTTTCACTAAAATTGTAACCACCTTACCTGAATAAGGGGATTCTATTTCATTCATGACCTTCATCGCTTCAACAATGCAAAGTTTATCTCCCTTTTTTATCTTGTCACCTTCTTTAACAAAATTTTCTTTATCGGGAGACGGTGATGCATAAAAAGTCCCTGATATAGGAGTGAGTACTGCCTGAGCATCCAAGATGTCGGTCTCTTCTTTTTTTATAGGCTCATCCTTTCTTACAGGTTTGATCTGTTCTGTTGTTGAAGATGATTGTAAAGTTAGTTGATTAGGTGTAGAAGCAGCTTTTAAGGTAATTTCCATTCCATCTTCATTTAAATGAAATTCTTCAAGATTGTTTTTATCAAAAAAATGACACAATGCCTTAAAATCGGTTTCTTTGAGGTTCCTGGTGATGTTGTAATCTGTTTTACTCATTGGTATTTCCTCTTTTTTTTATTAAAATACTTTTCCAAATGCTTTAAAAATGCTTCAATAGATCATTTTTAATAAAATTAAACCCTTGAGAAGATTTTACAATTTGTTTAATTTTTTTTAGCTTATGTTTGCTCTTGTGTTCAACAAAACTAAGTGCCTTCCCCAAATAATCTGCACGACCTGTTCTTCCAATACGGTGAATATAATCTTCCGAATCATAAGGCAGTTCATAGTTAATCACCAAGTCGATATTTGGAATATCCACACCCCGTGCTAGAACATCCGTAGAAAGAAGGTGATTGATTTTGTCATTTCGAAAATCATTTAAAACCGCATTCCTTTCTTCCTGACTTTTTTTAGAATGGAGGCAGTCCGTTGCTCTGAATCTATCTTTTTTAAGTTTCTTAAAAACTGATATAGTCTCATCAATCGAATTAAAGAAAATAAGTACTTTAGAGTTGAACTTTTTTTTAAGCAAGAGCTTGAGTGTATTATATTTATCTTTGTTTTCAATAGAGAAGAAAAGATGATCAATACTTTCCTTCGTTTTCATGGTTTCACCGATCTTAATGACTTCGTAGTCCTTGACATAATTCTTGGCAATTTTTTCAGTAGGCTCGTCAAAAGTCGCAGTAAACATGAGAGATTGGATGTTTTTGGGGAACGCTTTAAACAAAATAGAAATGTCTTTTTCAAAACCCATGTCCAACATCCTATCTACTTCATCCATCACAACTAATGAAGTGTAATCTATCCAAATGAGTCCCTGAGATAAAACATCGACCATTCTTCCTGGAGTAGCGATTAAAATTTCTGGATAACTTCTGAGAATTTGTTTTTGGACCAGCATATCCATTCCTCCAATGGCAAGTCCAATATTGAAATTACATAGTTTACTGAATTGTTTAATAACTGACTCAATTTGAATAGCTATCTCACGTGTGGGAGAGAGAATAACAACTTGGGAGATTTCCTTTTTAATCCATTTCTCAATAATAGGAATAGTGAAAGCCAATGTCTTGCCCGAGCCAGTTTGTGAAGAACAGATGACATTCTTGCCTTCCAAAATAGAAGGAATGGTCTTTTCTTGAACTTCAGAGGGATGGATGAAGTTCAATTCCGTTAAAGATTGGATTAAGGCTGGAGAGAAGCCGAATTCTTCAAAAGAGAGATCAGGGTTAAATAAAGAGGTATTAGCTTGCCCTGTGTGAGAAATGGAAGAAGGGGTCACTGAACTTAGTTGAGGTTTTTTAGGAAAACTCTTAGATCGATTAAACCTGTGCATCCTCGAATTTTTTTCAGAAAAACCATTGCCATCTCTAGAGCTGTTGGAGTTAGAAATTTTCTTTTTTCTAAGATTTTTCTTGTGATTTATTCGAATTCCAGAAGAAGATGATGAAGAGTGGAAAATATCAGTAAGCCGATCGTTAATGGATTGCTTGAATTTTTTGATTTCTTCCTGTTTTTTCTCATCAACCAAGTGTTTCTTTTTAAACTCTTTAGAAAGAAAGGATCTGGTTTGTGGAAGGAGAATTTTTTTTAAAAACTTAAACATTTGATCATCTTAATGCAATAAAATTAATATTTCTCATTTGAGTTTTATTTTCTCTGTAAGAATAATAGTCGTTATGACAAACGGTACATATTGGGTTTATCCAAATATTGTCTTTATTTATTTTATTATTAGTTAGGACTTTTTTTGCTATTTTTTTTAAGTCAGCTAAAAACTTGCCTTTTCCGCAAGGTTTAAAAAAATCATCTTTTTCTGACTCATTAAAGAGTTGATTAGCTAAAAATTGTTCCAAAAGCTCTTCTCCGACTTCGTAGCAATTTTGACAAACGGATGGTCCAATTAAAAAAAAAAGATCTTTTATTTCCACTTTGGAGTCTTTTTTCACTATATTCAAGGTTTTTTTTATAATTCCGGAAACTAATGACCGCCAACCACAATGGAGTGCACCAATTAGCGAAATTTCACCCTTTGAGGTATTATTTCTTTTACTATAAAATAAAATGGGTACGCAATCTGCAGTTCTGATTTGGATGACGCTATTCTGCAAATAACTAATACTTCCATCATATTCTCTTTCTTGATTAAGTTTTTTTAAATCTTCCTGATTTTTTATGATACAAATATCGTTTCCGTGAACTTGTTTGAAACTAATAATCCTAAAGCTCTTAAAAAGAGGATGATCCAAGCCATCAAAACGGGAAAAGAAACCACAAACAACCTTGGGATGGGGAGTCATAACAGTGGAACTGGGATGAAAGTTATTTTTTAAGTCTTCTAAATTTTCCATTAGTATTCATTTGTAATTAGTATATTCGAATATTTTTAAAAACTTTTAATCAAAACAAAACTGCTTTTTCCCTGCTCAATGACGACTTCTTTAGAATGATTGCTTAAATAATTGACATTTTGGGGAGCAAAAATATTAAGAGAGTACTTTCCAGGACTAAGCCATATTCTTTTGATTTGTAAATTATCATAAGTTAGATTCCATGCACGAAGGTCCGGTCCCAGAGTTGATGCGACAACTCCCCCCCCGACAGCACTGATTAATAATCCTAAAAAATCTCCTAAATCACTATCCTTTTGACTGGACTTAACAAGTGTCTTCGTTGCATATACGGAGAGCACCTTTACAACAATGCTAAGAACATTTTTACTAACATAATCTGAATAATGATCATTGTAATTTTGTATAGCCGTAGTAGTGTAATTATCCATACTAACAGAGCTGAATTGAATATTTGAGATAGACAACATGGGTGACATGACAACATTTTTTTGTTTTCTTGGGGAATAGATAGGAATGGGATTTTCACCTTCGGCTATCATTCCCAATAACACTGCTTCATCAACACCGCTATATCCTTCAGTTCTAATCGCTGTATTGATGGTTCCTTTCAAGAAAACTTGGAAAATTTCGTCCTCCCCTATCTTGCCACGAGATACTTTAATTGGAGCAAGTCCCGATTCATGGATGACAACAAGGCTACCTAGATCTTCGTTAAAATCTATTTTTTGAAAATTACTATTTAGCATTCCATAGGAAGGGAGGTCAGACCATTCTTCGAAAGTTTTTATATCTTCTTGATCTTGCTCTAATTTTGCAATAACAAATAACCCTTCCTTGGCAATATCAGTGAACCTCTGTGACAATAGCATATTGTTGTATTGCACACGAGCGTCGTTGTAATCTCCCATTCTTTCAGCTAAGATAGCCCCTAAGTATCGAGCTGCCTGGTTTTGCTTATAATCCTTATCCAAATCCCGGATGTCCTTCAACTCTTGATTAAGAAGACGGAAAAACCTTCTTGCACTTTCAAAATCATTTTGCAAAATGTAATTCAATGCAATATAAAGCTTAATTTTTACTCTCTCAAAACTCTCTCCCTTATAACTATTCTTGCTTTCATTAATGAAGAATGAGAGAAGTTCTTTTGAAAAACTTTTAGTGATTTTGTCTGCTATTTCATTAGCTTCTTCAAAAACTAGGTTGCTTTTCTCCCATTCTCCCATTGTGTGTAAGATGCTCCCTGCTTCCATTAAATATAGTAATTTATCTTTATCTTGAGATTTGAGAGTGCGTGGTCGAATCGCATCCAATGCTTGAGCGAATTGCCGATTAACAAAATAGTCATCAACAGCAATGATGTGTTCACTTTTAGTGTATCTTTTAAAACAATTCGTAAGAGTTAGGAGTAAAAGTAAAAATATAAAGTGTTTTGTAATTTTGGGATTATTTCTCAAGGTCTTTATAGAAGTATATTGATTTTTTTTTTAGAAAAAGTGCCTTAAAATTATAAAATAAATCGGTTTTTCTCATGACGATTTTTTGATAAGTTTTGTCATGACTTTGATATAAATTCAAAGTTTGAATAGTTGTTTTGATATTAAATTTTTTTATTTTTAATCTCAAACAACCGAAAATAATATAAGTTAGAACTAAAAATATAAAATTGATATCTTTTAAGTCACATTATGGTAAATTTATTGCCTCACAAGGTAATCATTATAAGAATAAGAAAAAAACCTTTAAAAAAAATAAATATAAGAAAAATAAACGATTTAATTCTTTAAAGTCGAAAGTTAGTTTTTTAACTAAATTTTGGTCTTCAGTCAAAAAAATTAAAAAATCACTCTCTTTTTCTTTCAAAATTTCTCCTAAAATTAATTTTAGGAAAAGAAACGAATCTCCTCCTGCTGATTATAACTACCTATCCAACGAGAATCAACCAATCATTGAAGAAAAACATCAAGATAAACTGATTGAATCAGGTCCTAGAAAGTGGATGAAATATTACTTCATTTTTTTTGTTTTGATTTTACTTTTCCCTTTCTTTTATTTAGATGCTGAACATGAAAAGAGTTTTTTCCTTAATTGGATTGAATCAAATTTGCAAGCTGAAGAAAATTCGTCAGCAATTGAAAGTGACCAAACTTTAAAATCTCTAAATAAGTCCTTGAATGAATACCCAGAAGTTGTCGTTTTAGACAAGCCACTTGGTAATCTAAGATATACCAAGATCCATCCAGAATTCACTCTTAAAGGAGACTTTAAAAAGATTATAGACAAACAAAAGCAATTACCATCTAAATATGAGCAAATTATTAACTTAGAATCCACCAATGAAATCATTTCAGAAGATTCCATCGGCGATTGGATGGATCAAAATAATCAACTACTGCCAAGTGACAATAGCTTTGAGAATCCTTTTAACCGACCTAAAAAAGAAGACATCTTGAAAAAAATTTTTGAGTACAATAAACATCGAATGAAGAAGGGGGAATCTCTTTGGAGTATTTCAAAGAAATACCAGGTGAGTATCGATAGCATTATTTCTTTGAACCAAATCACCAATCCAGAATCACTCCCGAATGGTAAGAATTTGTTAATTCCTGAATGGTCAGGTATTTTTTATCGAGTTAAGAAAAAGGACTCCCTCTATGATATTTCCAAAGAATTCAATATTCCCATTGCCAAAATTGAGGAATACAATAAAATTGATAATTACATCAAGGTAGGTCAAACCATTTTTCTCCATGGGGCCAGCTATACAGAAAATCAAAAGGACAATATTTTTGGAAGGATTTTTAGTAGCCCAGTTAGTGGAGTACTTTCTTCCAAATACGGATTTCGGATCCACCCCATTAAAGCTGGACGCTTTTTCCACACAGGTATTGATATTGCCAAGAACAATAATGAAAAAGTTAAAGCAGCAGCCGACGGTGTGGTCGTTTTAGCTAGGAAAAACGGTGGATATGGTAAATTCATTGTGATCAAGCACCGTAACGGATATCAAACCACCTATGCCCACTTAAATGCTATTTGGGTGAAGAAAAACCAAAAAGTGAAGAAAGGACAATTTATCGGGAGAGTCGGCAACACTGGTCTTTCAACAGGGCCACACCTACATTTTGAAGTCAAACACAAGGGGAAATTTGTGAACCCCCTTCGTTTCATCAAAATCTAATTTTATTCCTCTAAAGAATAACAAGCGATGCTTGTTCCTATCAATGGTGCATTATCCACCTCAAAGATCTCTACCTCAAACCCATACTTTTTAGAAAAAGTACTAAGATGCTGATTAAAAATTTTTTTTAGTCCAGGCATTTTAGAAATCATGCTTCCATCTAAAAGCAAAAAGAATTTTCTATTGGATTTTTTTAAAGGTAGCCCTAAGGATTGAAGAATGAATGCCGTAGTAAGTAAGCTAGTTAAAAAGGAAGCTCTCTCTAATAATTTCTTAGCGATTGCTATTAAAATTTGGAAATCCCTACCATTCAATTTTAATTTCTTTTTTTGATCATGGAGTTCGTAGAAGAAAAACACTTCATTTAGGCGAAAACTTTTAGTATCTTGAGAAAGAAGTTTTGAAACATCCTCCGATTTATATTCATTACATTGCTGGATGATTTGACTTAAATCATCGTTAAAACCTTCACTAGCAAGAAACATTTTATCAAAACTTTTCAAGGTTTTTAAAAATAGAATTCCGAAATAATAGCCAGAAATTTTTTTTTCTGCCAATCCTGAACCCGGATATTGTGAATGCCTGTCAATCTCTATATCGATGAAGGTCATCGGGAAACCATCAAAGTTGCCACATTCAGTATTCACAATATAGGATTGCTTAAAAAAAAAAATTTTCTTCATAAGCAATATTAAACCCTGTCCCCCAAACTAAACCGAGGAATCCCACATCTTCACTTGCTTCCTTTTTTAAGATTTTCTTTGCATAATAACAGGCTAACAAGACAGCCGTGGTGTCGTTGAGGATGATCACATCTTGAACATGGTTAACACCTCTTTTTCTTAATGCTTCTAAGAGATTTTTTTTTAGGGGCTTCCCGACTAAATCTTCAATAGCAATTTCTTTGGATAAAAAATTAACGATGCCTTCACCGGTTTCAAGCACGTTCGTTGAATAAGAAAAACAAAATTGAATAATAGTAAAGTCCTTGATGAGAGGAAGGAGGTAGTCTGCAATGGCATTAAAAAAAGTATCCTTGTCAATAGGACCAAGTGATCCTGGCATAGGATAGTTTTTAAAATATTTTATTTCAGGATTGCCTTGACAAGGGTCAATGACGACAACCCGTAGATTTGTGCCCCCTGCATCAATGACTAATTTCGGTTGGTCGTCAATCATGAGGGCATCTTCCTGAGTCGAGATAAAGGTATTAATCATTTCCAATGAAGAGGATTCACGCTGGAGACTTGCTTGGCATTGAGATTGAATTTGCTGAATGATTTTTTTATGATCCAATTGATCAACATTTAATTCTTTTTTACGAAAGAATTCATCAACAAGTTCTATGATTAAAGGCGTTTCCAATTGCTTATTAAATTGATTATTATTGATTATTATATTGTATAATGAACAACTTATTGACGAGCTACCATTTTTCAAATCTTATAGTCAGAGAGTCAATCAACGAGTAGCCAAGAAAAGATAAGAACAGTTAAATCATGATCACACCCTCCCCTACTTGTTTTCTTGATTTTCCTTGATTCGATGACGATGATTAAAAGCAGTGCATGAAAATCAAGCAAATTAACAAGATTTTTGAAAAGATAGATCACCATCTATTAGAATTTAATGACTACCTTTTTTATATCAAAAGCTTTTCACCTCATACCGTCCAAGGATATGTGAAAGACATAAATAAATATTTAGCCTTTTGTGGAAAAAACCAATACCATGAATGGAAGGAAAGGACAACCTTGAGATTATTTTTAAAAGACTGTTTTGAAAAAAAATACTCCAATGCTACTATCTATCGATATCGCTGTTCACTTTCAGTTTTTTTTGATTTCTTAGTGAAGCAAGAAGTCATCAATCATTCTCCAGCTAAACAATTGGGAAAATTCAAAAAAACCCAAACTATTCCCGAATGGGTTTCCGAAAAAAAAATTAAGAAAATGATTAATAAATTTAAGGAATACCCCGAAGAAAATTACTTGAGTATTCGAGATCGATTAGTTTTTATTTTCCTCTATGGTTTAGGGCTAAGAATTTCAGAATTGGCTCAAATAAAAATTAATAATATTGATTTAAAAAAGAAGGTAGTTCTTATTTTAGCTAAGGGAGGACATTATCATTTAGTTCCTCTCTCTCCCATATTGATTAATGAACTTTCTTCTTATAAAATAATAAGAAAGAATTTTATTAAAAATTGTAAAAAAGAGGATCATGGAATGCTTCTTTGCAATCATTTAGGTGATCCACTAACAGTAAGGGGGATTCGCTATTCTTTTCAAGAAAGATTAAAGAACAACCACCAAGAGGTCACTCACCCCCACGCTTTAAGGCATTCCATGGCAACACATCTTTTAAAAAATGGGGCAGGAATTAAACAAGTACAGAAGGCTCTTCGTCACCGATCTATCGCCTCCACTCAAGTTTATACCCACCTTTCACCCGAGTTATTGAAAAAACGTTATACCCAGTACCACCCTCTTTCAAAATAGCAATCAGGCTGAGTTCCGCCCAGCATTAATGATGCCTGGCATGGATCGAATAATAATTTTTTCGTAATTGTTGATTTCTTTTTCACTTAGTTTGATTTCCCCTCTCCTACATTCAAGCAGCTTGATAAGAGCATATTGCTGAATGATGACCAATGGAGAAACAATTTTTTCTCTAAAGACGATAGAATGTTCATTCATACTGTTTGATGTAAATAATGTTTTCTTGCCTATCATCCAAGCTATCATTTTGTTCGCTAGCTTGGTTTCTCTTTCAATTTTTTTCCAGATACTGTGAAACTTCTTGTCCTCTTTAAGATGGATAGTATAGGCTAAATTAGTTTTAAGAAGAGCTTGCATGGAGTTACCCATCAAGGTTCTAAAGAATGAAGATTGCTTGTAGAGATTGATGATGTCCTTTCCTTTTCCTTTTTCGATCATCTTCTCAATGGCTATCCCCACTCCATAGTAAGCAGGAATGTTTTGTTTGACTTGATTCCATGAACTAACAAAAGGAATAGCCCTTAAATTATTAAGCGTCAATCGAGCTTCTTTATTCCGTTTAACAGGCCTACTTCCAATATTCGCTTGTCCATAAAAGTTAAGTGGGGTGGCTTCACTTAAATAGTTGCTAAACTGAGGATGTTTTTTTAATTCATCGTAAGCCTCAAAACTATACCGTGCCATTTCGGTAAGCAAGGTGCGATTTTTTTTGTTGAGGTTATTTTGTTCATGACCAAAGAGTTTTTCTTCCAATCCTGCAATTAAAAGTTGTTCAATATTATAACAAAAGGACTTGCTTGTACCATACTTGGAACTGATGGTCTGTCCTTGCACGGTGAGTTGAATTTCATAATTTTCTATTTTCTTACCAAGTGAAGAATAAAATTTATTAGTCTCACCTCCTCCTCGAGCTGGAGGACCACCTCGTCCATCAAAAAAAACTACCTTGATTTTATGCTTCCTTGATACTCGTGTAATTTTTTCTTTAGCATTGAAAATACTCCAGTTAGCACCAATGTATCCTCCATCCTTAGTACCATCAGAAAACCCAAGCATGACCACTTGGTTGTTTTGGTGAGTTTTAAGATGTTTCATGTAGGTGGGGACTTGATAGAGTTTATCCATGGTAGTATCTACATTGTCCAAATCCTGCATGGTTTCAAAAAGCGGAATGATGTTGAATGGTAATTTCTCTTGAACATTTCCAAGCTCAAGTAAAAAGTAAACTTCCAAAACATTGACAACTGATTGGGAATTGCTAATGATATAGCGGCGGAGCCCTTCAACTCCGTTTTCCTTTTGAATTTGATAACTTACCTCTACAGTTTTAAGCGTTTCTCGGGTGAGTTCTTCAAAACCTTCGTGTTTAATTAGTTGAGTTAATAGATTGGTATGTTGCTTTTTTATTTTTTGGACTTGCACAAGAAATTTAATCTTCTGTTTCTCATTAAGCTCCGAATAATTTTTCTTCTCTAAGAATAAATAAATCTCCTCAATCGTTTTAGTGTAAACACTGCTATTCTGCCTAATATCCAATGTAGAAAAATAAAATTCAAAGCAATTAACCTTTTTGATAAAACGATCAAACTTGTCGAGAAAAATACCCTCATGTTTTTTTTCAATAATTTCTCTGATAAAAGACAGATGCTGTCTAAAATCTTCAAAACTGTCATATCGGTCTTCATCGTTATTTCCATTTTTAAATAAAGTTTTTTTCAGCCTATTGGTGGCCAACTTGATTTCATCATGGACTCCAGTGAAAGTAAGGGTTTTTCGTAGCCTTTTAAGATCCTTTACATAACATTGGATAATTGATTTTTTTAATAATCGAGCTACTTCTAATGAAATATCCGATGTAACGAAAGGATTACCGTCGCGATCACCACCTGGCCAAAACCCCACTTTGATAAAATTTTCCAAGGGCTGCATGGAGTAGTCTTGACTTAGAATAAAATGAATTTGTTTCTCCAGCTTCTCAACAATCTTAGGAATATTGTGATAGAATACTCGCTTAAGGTAGACTAGAATGGTTTTAGCTTCTTCAATGGGGGTGAGTCTTTGGCGATTATAAAAACTAGTTTTGCCAAGCTGTTTTAAAAGTGTGCGAATATGCGAAGAGTCTTTCTTAGTAAAGGCCACATTAAGACGGTGGAGAATATCCAATACATGAGTTGAGTAAAACTGAGTGGGATGGGCAGTAAGCACCACCATTACCTTGAAATTTCTAATTTTTCTTTCTAACTCCTTCGATTTCCAATTTGCATTAACTAAATTTAAAAAATAGTTTAAGGTACCCTTACCCTTAGTATCATGAATGTCATCAAATGCCACATCTTCTAAAGAATCAAAAATAGTGACTTGTCGCTCAATGAATTGAATAAATTTAAATAAGGTATCCGTCCTCTTGAAAGAAAAGGAAGAAAAGTCTTTTATTTGATTGAGAAAAAAGTTATCAACGATCGTCTTGGCATTTTCTTTATTTTCAATTCCTTTCTCGCAAGATTGTGAAAAAAGAGAAAGCAAAACACCAAATTTTTCAACATCACTGAAAGGTAAAGTTAGAAGAACATTTTTATAGATTTCGTAGTTTAAAACGACCTTTTCGTAAAAAAAATCTTTTAATTTCAACTAATAACCCTAAAAGAATGTTTTATCTAAATTTCTTGATTTTAAATAATTTTGCTAAAAACCATGCCACTGGAACGCAAAATACTGATAGCAAAGCTCCCATTTTAGCCGAACTTTGCAATAGAGGATCAACATAGGCCTGCCCCGAAACAAATAAAGCAACAGTAAGACCTGTGCCTGAAATAACTCCTGCTATGAGAAGGCTTTTATAACCAACATGATCGGGAAGATCAAATTTAAAAAAGACTTTAGCAACAAAACAAAAAGAAAAAATGCCAATGGGCTTTCCAAGAAAAAGAGCAAAGAAAATCATAGCTGTTAATCCATTGATTACCCCAAAACTGACACCTGCATTCGCAATACCAAAAAAAAACAATCCGATATCCACTTTGTTTTTAAAAACATGTTCAAACTTATAAAGGGGCGCTTCTTCTTTATGATCTGTCCCTTTCCCTTTAGACGGAAGAAAGGGAAGGATAGGAACGAGTGCCAGTGCGGGATGCACATGAGTGAGAAGTAGCCCAATCCATGAAGGAATACCAGCTAAAATAAAGTAGGCCCAAATATTTTGAACATTTTTCTTTCTTAAACCCATGGCTATGAATATAGCGACTAGGTTTATCAACAAGAAAATCGGTTCCACTGTATATTCAGGGGATGGATAAAACACTGCGATAATAATCAAACCAATGGCGTCATCTGCAATTGCCAAAAGTAGCAGGAAACTAATCACTGGATGCTTTCTGCCAAAAATCATTCCCGCAAAAAGCCAAACTAAGGCAATGTCCGTAGCAGTAGGCACACCCCAACCATTGACAATGTCTTTAAAAGTAGCTTGTGCTAAAAGATTATCAAGTGGAAGTGAGAAAGCAAATAAGAAAAAAATCCCAATAGGTCCCAGAATACCTCCCAAAGTTCCAAAGAGTGGATTAATCGATTTAGAAATGGGATTAAGAGGACCACCCTTCAAAAAAGCAGTCGTGATTTCAATACTAGCAATTCCAAAAAAGAAAACCATAAAAATGTCATTTACCAAAAAGTAAAAAGTAATTTTATGTCCAAGGAAAGTGAAGCCTGGCAAAAAGTCATGGCTGATGAAGTTTAGATAACTTATTTCATTGAAACTTTCCCCATCATAATTATTCCAAAACAACGCAATGATAACTCCTATTATTAAAGGGATAGAGAATTCAGTTAATATTTTATTAATTCGTTGTAGTGGGCTCATGGTACATACTAGTTAAAGTAAAAGAATCTTAAAATTATATTATAAATTACGGATAATTGTAAGATATTTAATTCTATTAGGGAAGTATTAGTGAAATCAGTGAAAATTTAATGAACTGAAAAAAGTAGAGTTTAGAGAATAATAAGTACATAAAACCTGAAATCAGGATCTATGCACTTATTTATTATTTAAAACTATTGATTACCAACCGTAATATGCTTTAAATGCATAACAAGTCGAAAGTTTAATATTTTCATGAGAACTATCATCGACATTATCACCCCACAAGCCATCATTGCCTATCTGTGAAATGATTGTAATACCAGCACCTTTTTCATTATTCAAATATTTTCCATAAGCATTGTAGTAAGATACTCTCTGGGGTGGGCCTGGATGCCATGAAGCCTGTCCGTTGCATTCTAAACCACCATTGACAATATCTATAATAGTCCCTATTCGAGCCGCAATAACTGATTCATCAGTAGTTTCTCCTTGAGCAACAGGAATTATTCCACCATCTTTTCGTTGAGGTAACCCTCGATCTTGCGTAGAAGTGGAAACATTTGTAATATTCCCCAACATCACATCATGAGAAGACGGTTTAGGGCCTTGAGCCGTCATCCAAAACCAAATTGCCGACATCAATGAAATTTCTCCGTCTGTAGCAACATAGTCTGGTCTAAGAAGCAAAATGTTTTCTGCAGTGATTCTGTCGGGAAAAAATCTATTGTTATATAACCACTGGGAATAGGCTCCATAGTTATAGTTCCAGGACAACTGAATAGGACCTCTTCCGTAGTAAGAACGACCTGTGGCTGGAATAAAAGATGATGCTCTATCGACATATTGTTGAGAAGGGCTTATCCCACTGCTATCAGTAGAATGTCCTACTTCTTCCACCCAATAAAGTGCACCTTTCCAAACATTTCCTACACCTACTTCCTCTTCAGCCCACGGAGGTGTGGCACCCACCCAGGATCCTGATGTTTCTCGTGCCGACTTGGCAAAGAAAGCCACGAACTCTTCTGCTTGTAACTTTTTGGATCCTTCATTTAAAAACTGAGGGTACTGATTATTCGAAGCCCAAGTGTTATAAAGAAGCACTGCGTTAAGAAAGTTGTTTAGTGAAAAAACATCTTTACTTCCGTCAGTCATCGCATAAGGAGGTTTATTTCTTATACCCCCATTTTCAACATATTTTCCACTTCGAAGTGGGAAAAACCAATCCCAATCATTAAGATCAATTTCCCTCAAAAACTCATACCCAGTAGCAGGCAAAACGGTAGGAATATTGTCAATCGCTGGTCCCCGAATAATATTCGGTTCTGGTGGAGCAGGAATAGCTGGTGGATTAACAACTGTTTTTTTCTTACCGTCATCTCCATTATTTCTATCAACACTATCCTCATCAATTTTATCAATATGCCTTACCACATCATTGACTTCTCGCACTGCTTGATTAACATCTGCACAACTACTGTTGGTAGACCAGGGAGTTTCCCATGCATTGTTTGGATATGGGTCTGGCGGTTCATTACCTCTACTCCAATACTTTGCCCTATAACATTTATTATTATGCTTAACATACGCTCCCGCTGTATAGGCAATGGCTTCATTCCAACCCCGAATGGGAATGCTATCTAATTTATTACCATTGACATCAGTTTCAGCAAGCAATTTCCATGGTCCGCTTTCGGGAAAGGTTGGAGCATCACCGGATGACCACCAAGCATTAATAAAGACACCACGACTACCCGATCCGTCTGAATAAAAAACTTTATTTCCTGGTTTGTCATATGTTGTGTTACTATTCCATTCAGCTGGTTTATTCGCAGCAATTATTTCTTTAGTAACATCCTGTCCCTTGCCATCACGATCTGTCATTCTACTCTGATACTCTTCTACGGCAGATGTAGACACTTCTAGAGTTGCAAGTGAGCTACCAGACGATGAAAAGGATTCAACAGAAGAATAACTTTGCTGAGCAACCAGTGTTAATTCTGGTGGCTGACCAACCTGTGTCCCTAATTCCACTGTACCATCATCTAATAGTGTTTGGCTGCAACTAGTAATTACTGCAATCATCATTATTAAAAACAGTATTAAAGTAAATATTGATACTTTTTTCATTTTTTAAATGCCTTTTATATAAAAACTATAAATTTACTATAATTTTAGTATATTTTTCGAATATTATTTCGTTTTTCTCAAAATTTTTTGTTGCTTTTTATAAAAACTAGTGTTTTTAACTATATTTTAGTGTTTTTTTTGCAACTAGTAATTACTGTAATCATCATTATTAAAAACAGTATTTTATAAAAACCATAAATTTATCATGTTTTTATACTTACACTATTATATATATATATAGATAGTAAGTAAATATACTAAAAATATGAAAATCAAACGTGATACTAGAAAATATATTAATAGCAGGTGGATTCGTAATATTTTCTTCAATAATTACAGGTATTTTTACTTTGATTTCTTCCAATGATATTATAATAAAAATTTGTCCTTCGCCAAAAAAAGCATATATAGATATATTAAATAACAATAAAGTTCATTTAGGAGATAATATTTTTCCAAATACATGGGGAACTCCTTACAATCCTTTATTGATAGAGATGACAGAGATTTACCCTCAACCTAAAAATGGACTTGCATTTTTTTACAAGCTAAATCGTGATTTCATAGCAGATTTGGGAGGACCTACTCAAATTGGACAGCGATTAGTAGACAGTATTTCGGAAGTAATATTAAAGTATGATTATAGTGCATATAAATATATATTTGCAGTTGATATTGGTGAAAGCCGTTATGAAGAATTAGTATTAAAGTATAAGGGAACATCTCAATTTGTCGATCTAGGAGCAACTGCTTTGATAGCAAGTGAGGAACTTGAAGGTAATTATTACAATAGGTACGTAGCTATTGGTTTCGCGAAGTACTTTACCTTAGAAGCTGAAATGGCTCGTAATGGAATTGATGTAAATAATAGTCAACTTCGTGCAAAAATTTTACTAAAGTCGTTTCATGGAGGCATTAGAGAAGGTCAATCTGAAAATTTTTATCTTAAAATCAATGAAAAACCATATCCAGTTCCCTCAAAAACAAGCTCAATGAGAGATCCTGATGAAGTAGTTATAGATTTCCCTTTTTCTGATTTAAATTTAAATAAACCAAATTATATATACAGCTATGTTTTGCCTTGGACTGAAGAGTTACCTAAACTAGTTGTAAATGGTCAAACAATACCAACAGTACATTTCAGAGATATTGGTATAATGAAATTATCTATTCTTATTGAAGAAAAACAATAGAAGATGAGCATTTCTCAATCTGCAATTCAAAATATCATCAAACAAATTCTCTATGAAGAAAGCTTTAGAGTTAAAGTTATTGCACTTAATCAATGCAGAGTTTTATTATATTTCTTATTAACTGTTTCTATAAAGTGTCTTCCTACCAATACCTAAGACCTTAGCTGCTTCGCTTTTATTTCCATTGCAATAACGAATCGTTTCATCAATTACTTTTTTTTCTATTTCTTCAAGAGTTTGTCCAAGTGTGATTTCAATAGTCTCTTTAACCTTAATGTCCTTTTTGATCTCGGCAGGGAGGTCTTTAATCGTGACTTTGCCGGTTTGGTTGAGGACAACAACTTTTTCAATTACATTTGAAAGTTGACGGATGTTCCCTGGCCAATGATAATTATCCAAAGCTGAAAAAAACTGAGGTGTAACATCCAAGTGTTTTTTATTGGCTTTGCAAAAAGTCTTAAAAAAATGGCTTGCTAAAAGTATGACATCTTTCTCCCTTTCACGAAGCGGGGGGACATAGATGTCAATGACATTCAGGCGATAAAAAAAGTCCTCACGAAAATTTCCTTTTTCCACTTCCTTTTTAAGGTCTTTATTAGATGCCGAAATAATACGTATATCCAAAGGAATAGGTTGTCCACTTCCAACCCTCTCAATTTCTTTTTCTTGGAGTACTCGAAGGAGTTTAACTTGAATATTCGTAGGCACCTCACTAATTTCATCAAGAAAAAGTATTCCGTGATTAGCTTGCTCAAATCTACCAACTTTGTGGCTATCGGCGCCTGTAAAAGCTCCCTTGACATGCCCGAAAAGTTCACTTTCCAGCAGAGTGGGTGAGAGTGCTGCACAGTTGACTTTGACTAAAGGTTGATTTCTGCCAGAAATTGAGTGAATGGCGTCACAAACCAATTCCTTGCCAGTTCCACTTTCTCCGCAAATGTAGACATTCGCCTTTGAAGGTGCCACCCGTTCAATCACCCCTGTTAAATGCTTGATCGCCTTCGATTCACCGATGATGCTTTTGTGCATTTCATAGGCATTCAGCTTGACAATTAAAGTTTGATTCTCTTTTTCAATATTCTTTTGCTTAAGTGCTCTTTGGACAATGAGTTCTAATTTCTCTAGATTAATCGGCTTGGTGATGAAATCATAGGCCCCTAAACGCATGGCATCGACAGCAAGTTCTACACTGCCATGACCCGTGATGAAAATAACAGGGATGTCCTTTTCAAGTGTAATGATTTTTTTAAATAAATCAATGCCATTGGTTTTCGGCATCTGAATGTCTAGAATGGCTAAATCCACCGATTCATTCATAATCATGAAAAGACCATCTTGACCGTTGTTAGCCATCAGGGTTTTGAAACCATTGCTCATTAAAGACTGATTAAGACCTTCTCGGATATTCTTTTCATCATCAACAATTAAAATGGTAGCCATATTCAAATAATTCTATCATTACTGTTATTAGATAGTATAATATTAGATTGAAAAAACTGTTCTTTGACTTTTCTTACAGGGTTTGGAAGCCAACCTTGCTTTTTTTTTTCTTATTTGCAGTCCCTCCACTTTATGCCCAAGAAGTTGAAGAAGTTGCTAACTTGAAAGAAGCCCAAGGCAATGCACAAGCCACAATCGTGACAGAAACTAGTGAAGTTTTTTTCGGATCTACAAACACGGATCCCTCACCCATGGAGTTTTATGAAAGAACCACTTCCGTTCACCCTCTAAGGCGTGCGGATATTCTTTTTTTTATTTCCATTCCCTTTTCTATCTTGTGGACAGACTTCTTAGTCCAACGATTTAGAGATATATCTTTGATTTCAGCTTTCTTTGAGGGAGCCCGAGGAGGAGACCTACGAGTTTCCAATTTCTCATATAACCACGACAACTATCCCTCTGCTGTTGCCGATCCATTTTATCTTTTCAAATGGACCAATGGAATACTGTGGCCAATCATCATTGTGGTCAACGACTTACTTGAGAGAATCCACGACCCCAAGGTATGGGAGAAAGAAAAACAAGCCATGAAAGGAAACCGTTTTAACTTGAATTTAATCAATCACAATTTCCACTGATTTGAATTTCATTCATAAACTAATACCTTGAACCAACTTGTAACCGTTTTTGAAGATAAAGACTTACTAGTAGTCAATAAGCCAGCAGGTATTTATAGCCACAGGAATCACCCTGGACACTTCGTAGAAAACTTAGTGGAAATTTTCAGTGAAAAAATGGATTTTGACAATGAAGACATCAAACAGGGCTTAGTTCACCGCCTTGATCGAGATACATCTGGATTAGTGATCCTCGCCAAGAATCCTAAAGCACTCAAAGAATTGCAAGCTATTTTTAAACAAAGAAAAGTTGTCAAGAAATATCAGGCATTAGTTCATGGTCATTTTTTCCAATCTGAAAAACTACTAATCAATTACTTAACTAGAGACCCAAATAAACGCACTAGGATGAAAGTAGTCAACTCCGAATTAATAAATTCTCCGCATTCTCCCGACAAAGCAAGGAGGGCAGAGACACTAGCTCATCCCCTTGCCTATTATCAAGATGCTACTTTGCTGGATATTGAAATTTTCACAGGTCGCACCCATCAGATTCGTCTACAATTAGCGAAATTTGGCTACCCCATCATAGGCGACACCTTCTACGACAACAGTAGGTCTCATAAAAATTTGACACCAAAAAACAATGATGAACAAAAATACCCTTCTTTGTTTCTTTGTGCCTATTTTCTTGAACTAATGCAACCTATCACAGGACAAGTACTTTCTCTAAAAATTCCACTACCAGACTTCTTTAGAGAAAAATTAAAAACACAGAAAAAATTCGAACTAAAAAGCCATTCATAGATGCATTTCAATACGCAAACAAAACTCTATGGTGTCATTGGTCATCCTGTGAAGCATTCTCTTTCACCATCGCTATTCAATCAAATTTTCCAATCTCACAATCTAAACAATGTCTATCTTGCTTTCGACAATCCTCACATAGAAAAACTCATTTCTTCTATGCGCAATTTAAACATTCAAGGTTTTTCAGTGACTATTCCTTTTAAAGAGAAAGCCCTTCCATTCCTCGATAAGGTGGATCCCTTAGCTCAAGCTTTAGGGTGTATTAACACTATTGAAAACCGTGAAGGCACATTGATAGGTTATAACTTCGATGGCTATGGAGCACTTCTTGGATTGGATGAGTTTTACCTTCTCAAAGGAGATCATAGAAACCATTGGCATACAAAGAACTTCTTGTTAATAGGTAGCGGGGGAGCAGCACGAGGAATTCTCATAAGTTTGGTAAAAGAAAAGTTATTCCAAGGCAAGATCACATTGAGTGCTCGCAATGAAAAAAAAGCTGTTGATTTAATTGAGCAGGCACAAAGGATGAGGTCCAACATAGAGATTAACTACCTTCCCCTAAGCCAGCTTCAATCACCTTATCCCATGGAAGGTATCGACATTGTTCTTCATACCACCTCTGTCGGTATGGAACCAAATACTAATGAAAGCCCTTTATTGAATAACAACATTCATTCTCAAATGATCGTATACGACATTGTCTACAAACCCGAAAAAACAAAATTGTTAAGGCAAGCTCAAGAGAGGGGAGCTTCTACTATTACCGGACTTAATATGTTTTTGGGACAAGCTCGTCTTCAGTTACAGACATGGACATCTCTTTACCCTGATTTATCTCAAATGAGGGAGTATTACCGAAAAGCCGTTTCTAAATCTTGAACAATCCCATATTCTGGAATACAATACAACTCCTTTCAAAATATGATAGAATAAAACAGAACTATGGCGAAGAAACCCCCTACAACCATTTAGAATCTTCTATTAGACATGCATTTCTTACTTCGAGTAACTACTAATGTTGAAAGTAAGGATAGGAATACACCGCGATGGGGGATCTCAGTGAACCTTAATATTCATTTGGAGTCCCTTACCAAACAGTAATTTTTTTTAAATTGACCGACAAATTTCAGATTCCAAAACACCTCCAAACCCAACCATTCAATATCAAAAAGCATTCCCATGTTTTTGTAGCCGAAGGAGCACGCCTCGTTGGTGATTTAAGATTATCGAAGGGAGTGTCCATTTGGTTTAATGCCGTTTTAAGAGGAGATGTTAATTACATTGAAATTGATGAATACACTAATATTCAAGATAGTTGTGTTATTCATGTCACTAATCATCATCCATGTGTTATCGGGAGAATGGTTACCGTAGGTCACCATGTCAATCTCCATGGTTGCCGTATAGAAGAAAAGTCCTTAATTGGCATTGGTGCCATTCTTCTCACTGGATGTAGGATCGGAAGGGGGTCGGTAATCGCAGCAGGTGCTCTTGTGAAAGAAAATGAGGAAATTCCCCCCATGTCTCTAATGGCTGGAATTCCAGCTAAAAAAATCAAAACTTTATCCGAAAATATTGTAATTGAACATGAAAAATGGGCAGAAAAGTATTATCAATTATCTAAAGCCTATTCATCTTAGAAAAAACTCCTGTGCATCTCAAATCTCATAAGGTTCGACATTAGATTTTACGCACTTTACTATTATTAATTTACCTAAGCAGTGAAAATGGCAGAAAAAATAAAAAAAGTAGATTTAAGCGATCAAATCAGTTTAGATCAAAAAAGGTATTCAAGGTATGTTTGCGATTCTCGTGCCATTCCCAATATGATTGATGGACTTAAACCGGTACAAAGAAGGATTTTGTGGACTATTTATAGCTCTCCGATTAGAGAACATTTCACTAAAACAGTGAAAGTTGCCGGCATGGTCATGGCCTACCATCCACATGGTAATGCCTCTATTGAGGATGCCATTAGCCAAATGGTTCAAGACTTTCCCTTTACCAACAATTATCCCTTGATCAGTGGATCTGGCACTTTCGGAGACATTCTTGACGCCAAAGCCATTGCCTCCCCCCGCTACACTGAAGTAAAAATTTCTGCCTTTGCCAAAGACATCGGCTTGTTTGAATCCACTCCCGACATCGACTATGAAAGTAATTATGATGAAACTTCAAAAGAACCAATTTACTTTGTGCCTAAAATTCCTCTCATCCTACTAAATTCGGTTCGAGGCATTGCAACTGGATTTCGATCCAATATCATGTCCCATAAATTATCTGATGTCGTTGATGCCATGACTCAAGCCTTGAAAAAAAAATCTATTCCACCCATATCCCCTTGGTATAAAGGATTTAAGGGTTATCAAAACTATCAAAAGAATGAAGAAGGACAATTTTTTTTAAACACAGGATTTGGCTTTAGCCAAGAAAATCATCAGTGGTTTTTAACGGATGCACCTCAAGGATGGAATCGAGAGAAAACCATCACCTATTTAGACGAACTTATGAAAGAAAAAGAAGAAATTCGTAACTACCTTGATCTCTCTAAAGATCGTTTTAAGATTCAACTGATTTTTAAACGTGGTGAGAAAATAACCCAACCAAAACTTCAACAATTATTCAATAAAGTGAATAAAGAAATGGTGGAGCAGAACGTTATCAATTCCCAAGGGAAACTTAAAAAAATGTCCACTGAGGAAGTCATTAAAGAATTTTGCAACATCCGTAAAATCCACCTTATCAAACGGTTTCAAAGATTAGCTGGTGTTGAAAAAGAGAAAATTGATAAACTAAATGAATTGATCCGTTTCATCAAAGAAAAGTGGAATCAAAAAGTTGTTTCAATCAAGAGTAAAAAAATGCTCGAAGAAAACCTCAAAGAACATCAATTTAGGCACTATGAATGGCTGTCTGAAATTCCTATCTATCGCCTCACCGCTGAAGAAGTGAATAAATGCCTAAAGGGAATTGATGAAGCAAAGAAAAAACTTAAAGAATTCACCATGCTTTGTGAAAAGGATAGAAAGCTCGTCGAATTTATCATAGAGGAAATTCAAATGTTAAAAAAGTGGGATCATGAGTAAGCGAATTTTCAGAAAACTTTCGAATGTCGAACATGTACGTCTTCGTACAGGCATGTGGTTAGGACAGAACTCCCCCTCTCTTTTTGAGCAACATTTTTTTAAACTAAAAAAAGACGGTGCTTACGACATATCCCATCAAGAAATTCAAGATGTTCCTGCCAAGCTAAAATGCTTAGATGAAGCCTGTATGAATGCCATCGATGAGTACAATCGAAATCTCATTGATCGTAAAATCCCTTCTTCAAGAAAAATGACTACACTCTGGGTGAGCTTATCCCAAAAAGGGAGGCGTGTTAAAGTCGTTGACAATGGAAGAGGTATTCCTTCCAAGAATGCCGAACAAGTTTTCCTTCACCTTATGTATGGTGAAAATTTCGATGACCAAGCTCGGAAAGAACATATCACTGGTCAAAACGGAGTTGGGATCTCCTTGGTGAGGATTGTTTCCAAATATTTCAAAGTCCAAACCTCCCATCAAGGAGAATCTTTTTCCAAACTATTCACCATATCCGACACATTCAAAGAGGCCTGCGAAAAGCTCAAAATTCCTTCCTCTTTACAAGAAAAACTTTTTCTTCATTTTGACGAAAATGGTAGCATTAAAAATTTTAGCAAATTAGAAGGGAAGCTAATTAGTCAACTTCAAAAAACTGTGAAGAGTAATGGAATGGGAACGACAACAAAACAAGTGGACAAAAATGAACATGGTACTTCCATCGAATTTGAACTTGATCCCAAATACTTTTCTAATGAAAATACTTCATTTAATGAAAAATATACTGCACAGTATCTTCAAGATCTAGCAATGATCAATCCAGGTCTAGAGATTGTTCTTGAAACAGAAAAGGATAAACAGGTCTTTTTTTTCAAAAAAGGATTGGAAGATATTTTTAAAAACACCCCTCAGCCTTACTATCATTTAAAATTTCAAACTCCCAAAAAAGATTTTACATTATCATCCATTCTTGTTGGTGAAGAAGGCAAAACCCTTTCTTGGGTAAATAGTAACTTTGTTTCCTTGGGAGGATCCGCCATCGAATATTTAGTCAATCGTGTTTGTGATGAAACACGGAGGAAGCCGACCATTGTTGCTTATGAGAAAAGATTAAAAACCAGTGCTACTCGAAATGATGTTCGAGCTTGTTTTCACATGTATAACAATTTTAGGTTATCAGCTCCTCGATTCAAAAGTCAAGATAAATCCTACCTCATTAACGATCTAAAACAAGAAATCAGAGAAGTGATAGACACACACCTCGATAAAATTATTAAACGACTGGGACTTGTCAACAAGATTAAGGAGGAAATGAGTCGACGCGTCAAGATTAAAGATATAGATTCTGCACAAAAAGATTTAAAGAAGACCTCATTCACTTCTATTCCGAAATTCATTCCTTGCACTCCAACTTCAAGTAATGAAATCAAAACCTTGTTTATTGGAGAAGGCGACTCTGCCATTGCGGGACTTCGTCCTGTTCGTCAACCGACCATTCATGGGCTTTTCCCTCTCCGGGGGAAACCCCTTAACGTCAAGGGGCTTTCTTTGTCTAAAGCCTTGGCTAATGAAGAATTGAAGAACATTGTAAGCATTCTAAAACTCCCATTTAGTGACAAGATTCAAAATCCGAAAGACCTTACCTTTGATCGCATTGCTATCATGACTGATGCCGATTATGACGGCTACTCTATCCGTTCTCTTATTTTAAGCTTTTTCTTTGAATATTGGCCGGAGCTTTTTAGTTTTAATATGATCTATATGGTAGAGGCGCCCCTTTATGAAGTAGAACTGGAAAACCCAGACAAGAAGAAAAGAGTATTCTATTGCATAGACGATAACGAGTATGATGTTCTCATCTCCAAAGCAAAAAAATCTGATTGCCAACTCATAAGAAAGAAACGAAACAAAGGATTAGGAGAAACAAGCAGAGAAGGAATGAGTTATGCAATCATGAATGGGCTTATCTGTATTGGGGTCAAGGATATCAAACAATGCCGAAAAACACAAGACATTTGGTTTCACAAGGACAAGGCACATTTAAGAAGGAAAGAAATTTCAGATTATGTCAGTTTGTTTTTCGACGAGTAATAACAAACCGAAGAAGCTAAGAAATCAGTGATAAAGAACCAGGATATAGTAAAGGACAAAATTCACTAAAATAATGCTATCCGTTCGATCATAGAAACCTCCATGACCTTTTAAAAAGGCACCAGAATCCTTTAATCCTAACGAGCGTTTATGAAGAGAAGCGATTAAATCCCCTAATTGAGCAAATAAACCCAACAATAGTGAAATGCATACAGCTAATAAGTGATTCTTAAATAAACTGATTTCCCAAAGTTCATTGAAAAAATATTTGAGTAAGGTGGAAGTGATTATTAACGAAATCGTGGTCGACAAAATTCCACTGATCAAACCTAGCCAGCTTTTTTCCATGGACACTTTAAGGTTGATTTTTTTCTTTCCCCATTTTTTGCCGAATAGATAAGCAATTGCGTCGTAAAGCCATCCTAATAAAAAAGCATAGAATAAATAGAAGTTAGCGAGGTAACGAAGGTTTTGATCTATTTCGCCTTGAAAAAAAAATTTAATTTTGAAGATATGAAAAAAAATAAAAGTTACATAAAAAAAAGTAAACAATAAGAATTGCTGAATTTTAAAGCTGGAAGAAAAATCTTTATAAAAAAAAATAAAGACAAAGGAAAGTACAAGAAACTCTAATGCCATGACGAACAATAATGAACTCCCCTCCCATTCTTTTAAAAAAAAACCATTCATAAAATCATGACTTGTAAAATAAAGAGACTGAATAAGAAGGGCACCCAAAATAAAAGCCATAGAGACTTTTCCTAATCCTCTTGAAAGTTCTGGATGAAAACCATGGAATTCCCGAGTGAGACAAAAGCTGGCTAAGAGAAAAAAGGCAATACTAAAAAATGATGAATTGATGAAGACAAAGCCAAATATTAACGGAAGAAAAATAAAAGCAGATTTTATTCTTGAAATGAGGTTTTGATCTTTAATCAAAGCCTTCCCCCATACCTTCTCTCCCTTCGATAATATTCATCAATTGCCTCATCCAATTCCTTCGGTCCAAAGTCTGGCCATAATGTATTCGTAAAAAAAAATTCTGTATAGACACTTTGAAAAGGGAGGAAATTGCTAATTCGATATTCTCCACTTGTTCTAATCAAAAGGTCTGGATCAGGAATCCCTGCGGTGTCAAGACACTGACTGAAATAATTTTCATCAATATCGCTAATTTGAACTTTCCCGTCTTGAACGAAGTGAGCGATTTTTTTAACAGCACGAAGGATTTCCTCCCTTCCCCCATAGCTAAGAGCAATTTGGATAAGATGTTTTCGGTGTTTAATTGAAGTTGCTTCGGATTTCTTTAAAACTTTCACAATATGATCTGGGAAACGGGAAATATCCCCAATAATCTTAATCCGGGCATCCTTTTCTATCAAGACATTAATTTTATTTCTACCTTTAGGATTTTCTGGAAAATCGTCCACATTAAAATATTCAAAAAGAAGATCGAATAGAAAACTTCTTTCTTCTTCGGAGCGTTTCCAGTTTTCACTTGAGAAAGCGTAAAGAGAGATGACCTCTATCTCCCTTTTAATGCAATGTTCCAAGATGTTTTCAAGTGTTATAAGACCCTGCTTGTGGCCTTCAGAAAAATGGAGGTTTTTAGACTTCGACCACCTATTGTTTCCGTCCATGATGAAAGCAATGTGTCGTAATTTTTTCATTAAGAAAAAATTATTAACTCACTAAATCTTTTTCTTTTTCTTTTAAGCTATGATCGATTTTTTCAGAGAAAGAATCAGTGGTTTGTTGAATTTTTTTAAGAGATGTTTCTTGAATATCCTCGCTGATTTCTCCTGATTTATTTTTTTCTTTTATTTCATCATTAAATTGGCGTCGAATACTTCGGATGGAAATACGAGCATTTTCTGCTTTCTCCTTGGCAATCTTAATGAACTCATGTCGACGCTCAGTCGTGATAGGGGGGATATGAATATAAAGCTTATTGCCTTCAATTCTGGGGTTAAATCCCATGTTGCTGTTTCGAATACCTTTGTCAACACCTTGAACCGCACTTTGATCCCAAACAGTAACCAATAAAGTATTTGTGTCTTGCACCGAGATAGAAGCGACATTTTTTAAAAGCATACTTTGAGAATAAATCTCAACTTTTAAATTCTCTAATAAGCTTGGGTGAGCTCTTAAAGACCTTATGGATGCGAATTCCTTTTGAAGGTTTTGCAGTACTTTCTCCATCTTTTCTTCAATCTCAAGAAAAAACTTTTCCATCAAATTAAATACTGGTTATTAACCAATTTGATTTCTTTTAAAGTCAATGACCTCAATTTTTGCACCAACTTGCTCACCTACTTCTTTAATGAGTTGATCCACTGTTTTATTGTCCTCTTTAACGAAGTCCATTTCCAACAAGCACTTTTCACTAAAATATTTCTTGATCTTACCTTCAATTACCTTTTCTTTGATATTATCAGGTTTTTTGTCATCCTCCATCTGCTTAAGAAAAACCTGTTTCTGCTCTTCTATCACAGACGGATCAACCTTGTTCATTGAAATAGCAATAGGGTTCATCGCTGCAATTTGCAAACAAAGATCCTTGCCTAAATTTTCAATCTTCTCATCGCTTAAAATTTCTTTTTTGTCCGACTCTACAACATCCAAAGCAACTAAAACTCCAATTTTTTGATTGGAGTGGAGATAAGAAAAGAATTGCCCATCCGTTTTTAAAAGAACCCCATCACTCACAACTAATTTTTCTCCCGTTTTGGCAGTTGTCTCATTGAGTAAGGTTTTCAATTCATCACTATCAAGATAATCGCTACCCTTAGCAACAAATTCTTCTCCAGCCTTTTTATGCATTTCTAAGAAGTGATCACTTTTTGAAACAAAATCAGTTTCACAACAAGCGTTAAACATCCAAGCTTGATTTCTTTCAGCTTTGACGAAAACAGCACCTTCCTTAACTTGATTACCAGATCTTTTCTCAGCAACTGCCATTCCCCTTTCTTTTAGAATTTTAACCGCCTCTTCCATATCTCCTTGGGTTTGCACAAGGGCTTTCTTGCATTCCATCATACTGACATTGGTCAAGTCACGAAGTTTTTTGACATCAATTGCTTTGATGCTTGAACTATTTGTATTGTCAGAATTTTGATTGCTGTTTGTTGGCTGAACCTCTTCTTTCTCTTTCTTTTCCTTATTTCCAACATTCTTCTCATCTGTTTTTACATCATTTATTTCAGTATTTTTGCTGACCTTATCCTTTTGTCCTTCTCCTTCTTCTTTTTCTTGAGTGGTTTCTAATTGAGTATTTTCTTTCTCCTCATTTTTAATCTGATCAAGGAAAAGTTCATCCTCTTCACGATTCCTTTTAAAAATCTGACCGCCTTGATTAATGGCACTAACAACATAATCGATGAATATACCCACTGAACGAATTGCATCATCATTCCCAGGAATAATCAGATCAACCAGGTCGGGATCACCATTTGTGTCAACGATTGAGAAAACTGGAATGCCGAGATTCTTTGCTTCCAAAGCAGCTTTTTTTTCATGGTAAATATCCACGATGAAAACTGCATCTGGAAGTTTCTCCATTGTAATCACTCCCTCATAAACTTCATTAAGCTTATCCCTTTCCTTTTTGATTTTAATCATTTGATTTTTGGTATATTCCTCTTGGAGTTCTGGCTTTTCTAAAATTTCATTATAATGTTTTAGCTTATCAATGGACTTACCAACTACTTTAAAATTGGTTAGTAATCCCCCTACCCAACGGGTATTCATGTAGTACTGTTTAGTTCCGGTAATTTTGAGTTTGATAATCTCCTTGACTTGTTTCTTCGTTCCTACAAATAAAACTTTGCCACCGCGGGCTGCGATATTTTTAATTTGATTGCAAGCCTTTTCAAGATAAAGAACCGTTTTTTGAAGGTCGATGATATGGATGCCCTTTCTTTTCATAAAGACAAATCTCGACATTTTTGGATTGGAATAGACACTTTGATGACCAAAATGGGCACCTGCTTCTAATAAATCTTTTATGGAATATTCTGTTGTAGTTGTTGTCACAATATTTCTCTCTCCAAGCGATAGAATTGATTAATTTTACAATGATTTCAATACTAAATGTAAAAGTTTTTGGAGGATTTTTTTCTTACCTGATGATAGTTTTTTATTTCTCACTTAAATGAATAATACACAAACGAGAATCAAAAAAGCGAATTGTGATTAAATGGACTATAGGAAAAATTTGATTTTGGGTGGGAATAATAATATTGGATTAGAATAGAAATAAGCCCCCTCCTCTGCAGAAGTGCAAGGGGGGGGGTGGTTTTCTGCTTTTTATTTCTTCTTAAAGTTCAAACAAGTTTGTCTTGTTTAAAGATCCTCGCTGGATACACCAAAAGAAATGCCATAAGTCATACCAAACCGATGATGATGATTTTCATCAACATCTAAGTTATCATCTGTATATTTATAATAGAGCCCCACCGAAGTACCTGAAGCAACATTCCAAACAACCTTAGGTGTGAAATAAAGACTATTGTAGGCTCCGGTGTAAAGTGTAGATGTAGCATTTGCAGCACCTCCAGATATAGCTGTAGGAATATCGGCAACCTGAGAAGTACTATTGTCACCCAAAGAATGCGTAGCTGTGTTCTCTCCGATCATGCCGAATCCAACTTCAAGGGAAAATTTAAACTGACCTAAAGTATAACTTGGTGTAACTTTAATTTTAAGCATTTCCTTAAAAAAGTCATCATCCAAGTCTCCAAGAGTTGCATGTTTAGTTTTGGTATCCAAGGCATAGTGGAGATAATAATCAAGTCCTAATCCCTCAATTAGGAGACCAGAAACTCCCCCGTGAAGAATTGCAATCATGTTAAGTTCTTGTTCAAAGTCACCAGTTGCTGCTAGATCGTAAACTCTTGAAGCAGCGCCAGGAAGAGTAACTCCTAAATCAAGGTTTAAAACTCCAGGCTTTAAGAAAGCTAGTGCATCTACCGTGAGCCCTAACTGTACTGAATAAATACCAATCTCATCAGCAGTAGGCATTGATGCAGCATAGCTAATAAGATGATTAGTATTTTTAAGATCATTTGGAGCACTTGCCCCGTCGAACATAACCGTTCCGAAGTAAACTGTTGCCGGAGCAAAAGCATTCGGAATTCCAATATTTGCTTGGATAGCATGGTAAATAGTTCCACCTGCAGCATTATCTTTAGGTATTAATGGAGCATTAACAACTAGATTAGTGTTAGCTATTTTCACATATGACCTAAAAGTTTTCTTAGCGATACCATACCCCACACCAATGCTTAATATGTCAATTGGCTTTACAGTGAATAATACACCGTGTGACCCAAGGTCAGACCTAATGCTATTACCGTTTCCAGCACCATAGCCGATGTCAAAAAACTTCAAACTTAATAGACCATCGAAAAGGTCGTTAACTTGAATATAAGCTGAATCAAAACTAGTAGAAGACCATACATCACCATCTGCTCCTGCTAATTTTACCTGCGCGGTAACATTGTCGACAACTGCTTTCAAAGTGATGCTACCAGTGTCAATTATCGATCCATCTTGATAAAAAGCAGCAGGTGCATTTTCTGCTCCGCTTAACTGAACCCTTGTTTCCCCCACAAAGTCAAGAGAAATGGATTTTTGTGCTAAACTAAAAGCAAACATACAAGCAACCACTACCATAGCTAATTTAATAATTAGATTTTTCATTGATTTACCTCTTAAAAAAATATTTATTCTTTTAGTGTAATGAATCGATTACCTATTCTTAAAAGAAGATTTACCTTTCTTTTTCCAATGATCATCATCACACATAATTGAAATTATAATTTAAAAAATAACTTTTATCAATGATCTAGTTTTAAAAACTAAACGAAATTGATTCAAGCTAATAATTTAATAATCTCAATTTTTCAAAGTCTATCATAAAAGGTAGGTAGATGGGTAAAAAAAACTATTTTTTAGGCATTTATATAGAAAAATCCATAAAAGTTATGTAATTTTCTATATAAAATGAGAAAATTTCATTTTTTTCAATAAAATTTAAAAGAAAATATTTTTTTATCCTATTTTAAAGAATTTGACTTTCAGAGAAAATCTATCAATTTAAATTTAATTTAAATTAAATATTAAAATTTTGTGCTAACTAAAATTAAGGATTTTATTAACCGATAATCAAATTAATTAGCTTTGCTAAGCTAAAATTAGAATAAAAAAATATAGGTTGAAAACATGAAAAAAACGTTAAAAGCATCTTTTAAAAGATCACAATTTTTAATTTTTATCTTTTTGGTATCCTTTTTATTGGTTACCTGCTATGATAAAAAAAGTGCAGAAACCAAATTATCTAATGGTGACGAAGATACACAAGAAGAAAGTCCAGTAGTTACTTTAACTGAAAACCAGGAGAATGACAATCAAGATAACGATACTGACACCGATTCATATTCCGAAGAACTAAGGAATTCACCTTATCAAGACGATGGAGACATCTCGGAAATCCCTCCTGATTTACTTAGAAGCGTAAGGCAATACCTTAATGCTGAAAACTATCCAGAAGTACTCAGAATACTTGACGGGAGAACTGATGATTATTCCACATATTATAGGGGTATCGCCTATTTTGTTATGATGCAAGAAACGCAAAAATACGATGATGCAAAAAGAGTGGATTTCGCTCAAAGAGGGGAAGAATTACTCTATTCGGTGATTTCTCGTAGAGACGACTCTGATTTGAAAGCAAGAGCTCTTTTATGGTATGCAGTATTGCTTAATACTCAATATGTAGATTATCCCAAAACGAAAGAAGCCATTCGAACACTAAGTGATGAAGTGGGCCGTTATCGGAAAAACAAAATTTATAATGATTCTGTTTATTATTTAGGTAATTTCCATGCCAAACTCGGGTGGTTTGGGCCAGCTCGTTACTACTACAAAAAAGTATCAGAACTCTACTTCAATGATGACTTGATTTACGATTACACTGATAAAACCTTTTATACGACAGATGAAGCTACTGAGGCTGGACTTCGTCGATTAAAAAGTTATATGGATGGAAGTAACGAAAACTTCATAAAAAAATAAGCCATTTTTAGTTTTTTATTATTGTCTCAATCTATGAAAAACGGTAAATATTGCCTACTATATATTTCCGTTTTTCATTATTTTTCCAAAAACTTAAATTTTTCAAAAAATTTGTTTTACTTTTAGGAAAACCTTTATTATTATAATAGAAAATTGTAGAAAATGAACATAGTAACTTTTTGGGAAAAAAACAATTCGATAAATAATGTATTAGAAAAAATCAATAAAGTCAGTCACTCTATCAGTCGACTGTGCTATTCAATTCATTTATTTTCAAATCACCTATTCCTAATAAGGAGCGACTCCGGTGACGACAATGACGAATTTCAAGACAGCTTTGATGAAGAAGAGGACTCCTATGAATATGAAGACGGTTTTGAGGAAGATGGTGATGAAGAGGATTTTGAAGACGACCTGGATGATGACTTTTATCCCGATGATGACTTAGATAATAACGATTTAGACGATAGTTTTGAAAACCCGAGCGATGTATCCGACTTTATTGACGAAGACGGCATCGACGATTACAAAAGTGATGATGAATATTTCTACGGTGAATATGACGAATAATTTTTGATGGCTCTGCCCTGTCTAAGCCATTTCGTCTTTATTTACCCAATATCAATTCTCCCTGTCTCACAACTACAGGATTTTTACCCGTTACATCAAGAATAGTTGAAGGAAGAGAGTTAAGTTTCCCCTTTTTCTTAATTTTCTTATTTTCTACTTCGTCTCTCTCTCCTTTATATAGGCACAACGATACTTCTGGGAACTGTTTTTTTATTTCTGTGAGTTCGTAAGTCTCTCTTTGCCCCGAAACATTTGCACTGGTTACCGCCAAGGGTTTCTTTAATTTTTCCAATAATCTCACCAAAAATCCATCTCCATTAGGAATGCGAACAGCTAAAGAGGTAAAATTTCTCATCAACTTGGAAGATGATCTAACTTTAAAAATTAAGGTGAGGGTACCTGGCCAATGGTCTTTAATTAGTTTTTCTACTAAACGAGGAACTACTAAGTGAGGTCGTAAATATTTAAAATTGGCTACCATCCAAATTAAAGGCTTAGAAATCGGTCGGTTTTTTAATCGATAAAGTTTGTCCATAGCTTCCTTTTTATCTGGCAACACGGCCAGACCGGGGACGGTGTCTGTATTAACGACAAGAATTCCTTCTTCTTCCAAGACATAGATAGCTTTTTGAATTTTTTCATCGGATTTTTTTAAATTAAAGTAAGCATTCATTTTTAAAATTGATCAAACTTTTTTTTGAAAAACCTTAAAATAAAAAAAAGATGATATAAGACTCACCCATAAAGAAAGTATAAAGAGATAGAAAAAATTTTTTAACAAATAATCTTCAAAGTAAAATATTTGAGAAAAACTTTCAAAACTCAGTGTTGAAACCTTGAATAGGTTTAACCAAAAAAGCACATAAATTCCAAAACTCAAACCAGGTGATGTGAATAATAGTGATAAAACAATTAAATAATAAAAAACTTCTTGGTTAAGATAGGTCATCAAGATTCCAAAGGTTCCATACTCATTAAGAAAAGAATTGAAAAGAATAAGCAAAGTGGTTACCCCGAGAGAATTGATATAGCTTAGTGCAACATTCCATCCAATACCCTTGATATTTTGAGTGGTTAAAGAAGCGATTACAAACCAAACAAGGAGGGTTAGAGGGTAAGAAAAATCAATTAAAAGCGCCACTGCACCAAAGACAAGAAAGGATGCTAAGTGAATCATTATCCAAGAAAAAAAATTTTTTGATTGTTCCAGATAAATAAAATGCGGGAAACAGATAGCACTCCAGTAACTCTCCTTCAAATTTCTATTTTCCTTTTCTAAGTAACTTTTTAATACCATCCAAAAGATCAAGAAAAAAAACAACCAAAGTACAAAAGTTATCCAAAAGTTAAAAATGAATTTTTCTTCGGAGAAAACTCGATAATGGAGTTCTTCAATGTTCATGGTATAAATTTCACGAGTGTCCAAGAAAATAGCTTTTATAATGAAATTGCCTTCTTCCAAAGTTCGAAAAACTACATTCACCTCTCCTTCTTTATCAGTTTGACCTTCATAAAAATTGGTAAGGGCATGATAGGCAAGCTCTCCTCTCAAGGTTTTGACTGTCTCAATCAAAACAGGTTTAGAAAATAAAATTTTCACTGTCTTACCAGCAACCTTGAATTTTCCACGACTGATTTGATTGGTTAGATGAATTTTTTCCCCAACCATCCATTCTTCTTTGAGAATGGAGCTTTTATAAAGATATGGAGTTTGGCTGATTTCCTTGATTAATTGAGAAAAATTCTTTGGTTGAGTTTGAGATTGAGGATAAACGAATTGAAAAGTAAAAAACGATCCGATAAACCAAAGAAATAATTGAAAAGTAAAATTATAAGCTCTCAATGACCTCTTTAACTTTATTTCTAACATTTTCGATCGAAACTCCTCCATCTAAAGTCGTGAGCAAACACTTTTTTTCGTAATGATCGATAAGAGGTTGGGTATTCTCCATGTAAACCTTTATTCGCTCCTTGATTACCCTTTCATTGTCGTCTTCCCTTCTTTGACCTGAATCATCACTTCGATTAAGAAGACGATCTACAACTATCTTTTCACTGACTTTTAAAAAAATAACTTGATCAATATTAGTAGTTTCATCCAAGGATTTTGCTTGGAAAACCGTTCTTGGAAACCCATCAAAAACCACTCCTTTAAAACCCACCGTTTTTATATGCTTTTTAACCAATTCAATGATCATTTCATCTGAGACCAATTTCCCCTCATTCATGATTACTTCCACTTGCTTCCCTAATTGAGTTCCAACCTTCCTTTCTTCACGAAGAAGGTCGCCTGTGGATATTTGACGATACAAGTACTTCTCTTGCAACCATGAAGCCACTGTACCTTTCCCAGAACCTGGCATGCCCAGTAGTATTAAATTCATTTTTTCCTCTTATTTGCTAACTTCTTCTTAATTAATTTGACCGACTTAACAATCGAACGACTATCCAAACCACACTCTTGTAATTGCTCCTGCCTTGAAGCATGTTCAACCAATTGATCGGGAAGTCCTTTAACAAGAACCTTACCAGTATCAAGTCCAAGGCGATTGAGTTCCTCCAAAACGGCCGATCCGAGCCCCCCCCGCTTAATTCCTTCTTCCAATACAATAAGAGATTGATGTTGTGAGTAAAGTCGCCGGAGTGTTCCAACATCAATGGGTTTGGCAAACCTGGCATTCACTAGAGTTACATGAATCCCATCTTCTGCCAGCATTTTCCATGCCTTGCTTGCCTCAATGACCATGCTACCATATGCATATAAGCATATTCCTTTTTTGTCTTTAGTTTTAAATAAAACTTCAGACTTTCCTAAGATTAATTTTTGGCTTTTTTTATAATTCTTTTTGAAATAGTTTCTATCAGGTATGGAAGACCTGGGATACCTAATGGCAACCATTGTATTCAATTGGGTTGCAAATGCAATCATATTTTTTAAATCCTCTCCATCTTTAGGCGCCATTAAAACGAAATTAGGAAAGATACGCAAATAGGCAATGTCATAACTCCCATGATGGCTAGGACCGTCATCTCCTACTAAACCTGCACGATCAATACAAAAAATAGTGGGGATATTTTGCTGAAGAACCAATTCATGAAAAATTTGATCAAAGGCACGTTGCAAAAAAGTTGAGTATACCATGAAAATTGGCTTGAGACCTGAGGCGGCTAACCCAGCAGAAAAACCTACTGCATGAGCTTCACAAATTCCCACATCAAAATAACGATGAGGAAACACTTCTTCAAACTTATTCAATCCAGTGCCTTCAGCCATTGCGGCCGTGATCGTGATAACTTTTTCATTTTTCTTACACAATTGTTTAAGAACATCAACTGCTGTGACAGAATACGATAGCATTGGGGATTTGTCACTTTTTATTTTTGCCTTTGGTGGTGAAAGAGCATGGGGACCAATGATGGTTTCTCCATTTTTACCATGAGGACGAAACCCAATCCCTTTTTGAGTGAGAGCATGGATAAGTACTGGTTTAACCTTGACCTTTTTAGCTGCCTTTAGGGTTGAAATAACTTCATGCACATCATTACCATTAATAGGTCCCATGTAGTCGAAACCTAGAACAGTAAAAAGCTGAGCTGGGCTAGCAATTCTGCTCGCCTCCTCTAATGTGAGGTTTACCATAAATTCTAACTTATGACCTAATTTTGGAATTTTTTTGAGTCTGTCAATGAGTCCCTTTTTTAAATGGGTGTAAAATTGATTGTGGCGAAAATTATTGAGTGCCTTTGCCAAACCCCCAATGGTTGGAGAAATAGACATTGAATTATCATTCAAAATAACAATTAAATTATTTTTTATATGTCCCGCATGGTTGAGAGCTTCAAACGCCATCCCTCCCGTCATAGCACCATCACCTACTAAGCTGACAACAAATTTCTTAGTTTGATCTTTGTCAAAATCAAAACCGCAACGCATTCCGAGAGCTGTAGATATAGCTGTAGAGGCATGACCACCACGAAAAACATCATAGTCACTTTCCTTTTTGTAAGGATAACCACTCAATCCATTTTTCTGCCTCAATCGATTAAATTCACGGTAGCGGCAGGTTAAAATTTTGTGAGCGTAGCACTGATGCCCTACATCAAAAAGTAGACGATCCTGATTGAGGTTAAAAACCATGTGACAAGCAAAGATAATTTCTACTGCTCCAAGGTTAGGACCAAGATGTCCTCCATTTTTCTTGACACTCTCAGTAATGCAAGTTCTTACCTCCTCTATTAATTCAGCCCATTTGTCTTGAGGAAGTTTTTTCAATGCTTCAGGAACGATAATACTACTAAGAAGTGGGTAATCCATGTGATCAGAGGGAAAGAACTTTTAACTCTTAATTATATAATATATTAGTGTTATCGAACTATAAGAAATTTTACAAATATCAATATTTTTTCTTTTTTTTCTCCAACAAAAATGATGATATGATTTAAATAAATTTAAATTAAAAGAGTAAATAAAAATGAAAAAAATCATGACAATTTGGATACTATCCTTAGCAGCCTTCTTGGTAATAGCAGCTGGTAGCAGTTCTTCATCTGAAGATGATAAATTTCAGGATGTTTTCGATCAAGGAATGAAATATCTTAAGAGTGAAAAGTATGGTAAAGCAGTAAAAAGTTTTAAGAAAGCGTTAAAAATTAATTCGAAAGATGCCGACGCCTTAAATCAACTCGCTTATTCACAAAGAAAAAATGGGCAGATTGACGAGGCAATAGCCAACTACCATAAGGCTTTGAAAATTAGACCTCAATTTCCTCAAGCAAGAGAATACTTAGGAGAAGCTTATTTGCAAGCGGCCTTAGCAGAACTTGAGCAATTAAAAAAATATGGCTCAAAAGCAAAACATGAATATGACGATTTGAAAGAAGCCATTCTCGATCTTCCTTCACAGATAAAATAACTTACTTTAAAGTCTCTGTGTTTTACAAAATCAATGGAATACAATTTTAAAAAAATAGAGAGATTTTGGAGAGAATTTTATCGAGACAATAATACCTTTCGCTTCCATCACGAAGAAAATAAACCTAAATTTTACTGTCTTGAAATGTACCCATACCCAAGTGGTGATCTTCACATGGGTCATGTACGAAACTATTCGATTGGTGATGTTCTAGCACGCTATAAGCAGTTGAAAGGCTTTAATGTGCTCCATCCAATCGGATGGGATGCTTTTGGTCTCCCTGCTGAAAACGCTTCGATTGAAAAAAAAATACATCCTGCCAAGTGGGTCTTTTCTAACATTGACAGAATGAGGGAACAACTTCAACAGTTAGGATTTTCATATGATTGGAGTAAGGAAGTTTGCACCGCACAATCTGATTACTATCGATGGGGACAATGGATTTTCCTCAAATTCTATGAGAAAGGACTTTTCTATCGGAAAAAGAGTGCTGTCTTTTGGGACCCTGTTGACAAAACGGTTCTTGCTAAAGAACAGGTCCATGAGGGAGTAGCTTGGCGATCTGGAGCCGTGGTTGAACGAAGAGAAATTGAACAATGGTATCTCAAAATAACCGATTATGCTCAAGAGCTCCTTGATGAGCTTGACCAGATGGGCGGCTGGCCAGAAAGAGTTAAAAACATGCAAAGAAATTGGATTGGTAGAAGTGAAGGTGCCTTAATCAATTTCACTTGCCAAGGAAAGAATTTTCCCATTTACACGACTCGCCCAGACACACTTTTTGGTGTATCTTTCATGGGGATTGCTTTTGATCACCCCGACTTACTGAATTATTTAATTGGCAATGAAGATCATCATAAAAAAATCAAAAAATTTGCTGAAGATTGCAAAAAAATTGATCAAAACTCTGATTATGTTCAAGAAGGAATTTTTACTGGCAGTATGATTATCCATCCTTACACCCAAGAAAAAATACCACTCTATGTTACGAACTTTGTTCTAGCCGAATATGGGACTGGTACCATTATGGGTGTGCCTGCACATGATGAAAGAGACTTTGCTTTCGCCAAGAAATATGGACTCTCCATTATTACAGTGATTAAAAAACCCTCCAATTTAGAGGTTTCTGATAATAAAGCTTACACTGGTGAAGGAATGCTGTGTAATTCACACCCTTTCAATGATCTTCCTAATAAAGAAGCCATTGGCAAAATTATTGATGATCTAGAAAAAAAAAAATTAGGTGAACGCAAGGTTCAATACAAGTTAAAAGACTGGCTTATTTCAAGACAACGTTATTGGGGTAATCCAATTCCCATGCTTAAAAATGAAAATGGGGAATTCATTCCTGAAGATTTTTCTAATTTACCAGTTATTTTGCCTCTTGATATAAAATTCACTAGTGGAATCAATCCACTTGAAAAAAATCAAGACTTTACACAAGTAAAAAGAGATGGTAAAGCCTATCATCGAGAAACCGACACAATGGATACCTTCACCTGCTCTTCTTGGTATTTTCTTCGTTACCTTGACCCTCATAACGAAGAACAACCCTTTAAATCGGACATTGCAAACAAAATGATGCCAGTCGACCAATACATTGGTGGGATCGAACATGCTTGTATGCATCTTCTTTATGCAAGGTTTTTCCATAAAGCTCTTCGTGACATCGGTCTCCTTCAATCCAAAGAGCCGTTTCAAAGATTACTCACCCAAGGCATGGTAGTGTCACCTTCGTACTTTTCACCCAAAGCAAATAAGTATTTTTTCCAGCATGAATTGGGGAAAAACCCAAAGACTTGCCCTGAAACAGGAGTCCCCTTGGTTATCAAAATGGAAAAGATGAGCAAATCCAAAAATAATGGGGTTGATCCTCTTAAGATGATTGATAAATACGGAGCAGATAGTGTACGCTTGTTTATTCTTTTTGCGGCTCCAGCAGAAAAGACCTTGGAATGGAATGAAAGCGGGATTGAGGGATGCCAACGTTTTATTTTAAAACTGGTTCGCTGGTCACAGATGATCTTTTTACTTAAAAACTCAGTTGAGGGATCAACTTCCTCAATTCAAAAAAAAGAATCCCATCAAATCATTGAAGAGTTAAACACTCTTCTTGATCGTACAATTGCCAAAGTAGAAGACGACATTGAGAAATTTCACTTCAATACTGCCATTTCCAGTTTGATGATTTTTATAAATCAGGCTTCAGCTAAGAAAATTAATCCACACCACCTTCATGATGCTTTAGAAATTTTGAGAAAATTTGTAACTATTCTCTCCCCCTTCGCTCCATTTATCTGTGAAGAAATTTACAATAAAGTCCTTTCTAAAAAAGGCGAATCTGAGAAAAAAAGTTTGAAAGATAGTAATTGGCCTCATTACAAGAAGAACTCTTTAAAATTGTCTGTAGTGGTCGTTCCTATTCAGATCAATGGCAAGGTAAGGGGTAAAATCAAAACCACAGCCGATCTTGATCAAGAAGAGCTTGTTAAACTTGCCATGCAAGAAAAAAATGTTCGAACTTGGCTTACTAATAAAACTATTGTTAAACGAATTGTGATTCCCAACCGTTTAATCAATTTTGTTATCAAGTGAATTTCCTAAAATGAAATTTAAATTATTAAGCACCACCCAGCAAGTCTTGTGTAACCTGTTGAATTAGTTGATCCTTTCTTTCTGATAACTGCTCTTTAGCTAATTGTCTCTTGCTTCGGGTGATCATGCCATCCCTTTCTAAAATAGCTTCTACTATCCATTCTTGATCAACTTTCCTTGCAAAACAACCAAGAGGTGATCGACACCCTCCTTCAATGATCTCCATTACTTTCCTTTCCAAGCCAACTGCCTCCCATGTTTCTTCATGGTGAAGTCTATTTAACAAAGCTGGAAGGGAGCTTACATTTTCTTCTTGCTGGATCTTGAGACATTGAATCACCAAGCAACCCTGTCCTGGGGCTGGAAGGAGAGTAGAAGTCGGAAGAGTTTGTACAATGACTTTATCTAAATTTTCTTTAAAAAGAAGATTATCCTTTTTTTGATTTACTTCTACCTCTTCTATTTCAAAACATTTAAGACGACTGATTCCTGCTTGTGCCAAAACAATGGACTCAGCTTCTTTATTTACAAGTTTTGAAATTCGGGTATTGATGTTACCTCGCAGTTCTTCAAAAGTCCATTGTGGAAAAGTTTCACCAAGAAATGCTCTTCTTCTTAAACTGCCTGTTGATACTTTTTGAATTTTCTTAAAATCAAAACCTTTTCGGTAAAGAATGACATCCTCCACAGTTTCTCTTTTAAAGCAACAAGGCAATATGAATCTTGGGTCAATTGGGGAAGGGATATCTTTTAAGCAATGAATAGCACAGTCTGCCTCCCCTTTAAGAAGAGCATTTTCTAACGCCTTAACAAAAACACCCACTTGAGAAAAACCGTGGAGAGGTCTTCCCATGTCCATATCTCCATGGCTTAAAACAAAAACAATCTCCCAATCCAACATAGGCAGAATTTTTTTAAATTCTCGAATTATCATCTTAGTTTGGGCAAGGGCGAGAGGACTCTTTCGAGTAGCCACACGAATCTTTTTCCCTCTCCAAATTCTCTTGATCATACTGTTCGTTAAAGATTGATGATTCTAAGGAAAATCATTAGGGTTAGTTGTCACTAATCGACTTTAAGGAAGTGACTAATTTAAGAGAGTTTACGAGAAAATTCTTCTCTGCTAAGGAATTAATTTTTTCTTGTGAAAAACTTAAAGAGCCAAGTTCATTTATTACAAAAAAATCTTTATAGAACTTCTTTAAAAAAAAATCATAAACCTGACTGGAAATGAGTGGCTGATTCGCAAGTTTGCTTTCTGAATTGATTTGTTCAAAAA